ATGGAGCCCAGGATCCCATTTGCCTTCCGAGCCACAAGGGCACACTGCTGGCTCACGTTAAGCTTTTCATCTATCAGGACCCCCAGGTCCTTCTCCACAGGGCTGCTCTCAAGGACCGCTCCTTCCAGTCCGTATGGATGCCTGGGATTCCTCTGGCCCAAGTGCAAAGCCTTGCACTTTGCTGTGTCGAACTTTATTAGGTTCACCCAGGCCCATCTTTCAAGCCTGTTGAGGTCCCTCTGAATGGCATCCCTTCTTTCTACCGTGTTGAACTACAGGTCCTCTGAAGAGCAGCCTGCACTCTATCAACTAGTCTTCCCAATTTGGTGACATCTGCATTCTTGCTGATGGTACAGTTTGTCCCATTGTCCTGTTCTCATTAAGATTGTAAACCTGTAGGCCTTGGTATTGACCCAAAAGAAACACAACTAATAGCCAAGTACCAGCTAGGCTTTGTATCACATCATAACACTTTAATCTTTTCTACAATCCAGCCATATTTCCTACCCATCATGTAGTCCTCTAGTTCACATTTCACCAGTTTGGCTGTAGGGATACTATGAGAAGTCATGGGAAAGGTCTTGCTGATTGATAACAAGTGGGACAACAACCACTGATCTTCTCTCATCACTCACCAAGCTAGACATTGCATTACAGCAGGCAGTCAGGGTGGTCAGGCATGGTTTATCCTTGGTAAATCTGTGCTTGCTGCTCCCCATTGCCACCTTGACCTTGTCTTACATTACATTTTCTATAAAATCTCATCTAAAAATAAAGTTTATCTTTGCATTCATTACTCTGCCAAATGATAGGAGATTTTACTCAAATACTTTATGCATTTAAATGGATTCATGTATAATCTCAGTTGGTATTTTTTGTTCATCTTGGGTCACAGATGTTATCTATATCCTGCTATGAACTGACTAATGGTGGCTCTGAATTTGTTTTGTTTTGTTTCTCAGCATACAGGGAGAGTTGGATGCAGAAGCTGAGAAAATGAGGATATCCCAGCAGGACTTAATTTCAGTTAATGAGTCTGTTTACACCCCAGACTCTGATGTAACTTCACCTGCTATCAATAGGAATCTCATCCAGAAGGCTGGCTACCTTAATCTTAGAAAGTAAGACAGTTGTTGCTGCCTGCTGCTTTCTGTAATTGCTGACTTGTTGCTATATTATTGGGTTTTTTAGGTCTTCAAGACTGCTCAGATAATGATGTTTTAGGCTGTGGTAGCTTTACCCTTCAACTCCTAAGTGTCTCTGTCACCTCTGAAAATGTGTTTGAGAAGCTTAAATCCAATTAGAGGCATTTGATACAATTTCCCTGAAAACAGAAAATTCTGGTTGAATTTGCCTTCAGGGATAATTTTCTGTGATTAGCTGGGTAAAAGTTAGAAGCCTGTAATGTCTGGGCTCAGATTGTTCCCAATTCTTAGGGCTCAGGAAAACAAAGTGTTTACAGAGAACAGCTATCTTTTGTATTTAATATGGGTTTTCATAAGCCACCTCCTTTGCATAAATACAAGTTTTACGGACCGTACAAGTTAAATGTATGCCATACATAGTTACCTCTGCAGATTTTCCAAATAAAATCTTCCAGTGCCTTCCAGAGGAGCTGTGTATACAGCAGCAAAGTTAGGTGGCATAGGGTAACCTGGTCTTTGGAACTGAAAAAAGTTCATTTCTGTCTTACTTACAATATTTTTTTCTTGTTTTTCTTGTATTGGATACTTAGGATTTTGAGCAGCATTCTAAGTGCTGGGTTACAATGTAACAGAAGGGATTTCATAGCAAGGCAAATAAGCTTTGAGATACTGCAGAAGACCCTTACGATGTCTCTGTTCCAAAATTGCTCATGCTGCTCATCAGCTTGAAAATAAATACTTTTTTTTTTTTTAATGAAGCTTAATTGATAGTATTTCATGTCAGTTACTCAATGCTAACAACTCACGTATTCCATAACTAGGAGATACTGCAGAGGATCTTCTTACCTTGGGATGTTTAGAATTAGAAAGCCCCATCCAGCTGGATTGAGCAACTTGATCTGGTGGGAGATGTCCCTGCCTATAGCAGGGGGGTTAGAACTAGATGATCTTAAATGTCCCTTCCAACCTCAACCATTCTATGAGATTAATTGTTCAGCTTAGATTAAGGATTAATCTCTGCTAGGAATAGGTATTGATTTCACTTCTCATCATTAAAAATTTTGCACGCCTGAACATAAAGTTCAGGGTACGTTTGAAGTTTCTTTAGGTCGTGGGGAGTCATTTTTAAATAGTAATGAGTTTTTATCATTGCATCTTCTTTTTAGTAAAACAGGGCTGGTGACTACAACTTGGGAAAGACTGTACTTCTTCACCCAAGGTGGCAACTTGATGTGTCAGCCGAGGGGCGCGGTAGCTGGAGGATTGATTCAGGACCTGGACAACTGCTCTGTTATGGCTGTGGACTGCGAAGACAGAAGATACTGCTTTCAGATCACTACTCCTACAGGCAAAACGTATGAGAGACAGGCTTTATTGAGGACAGCCAGTCACACCTGCCTGTTCAGATACTGTTTCATGTAAAAATCGCTTGCTATAATAGTATGCCTTTCTGGGTTTCTGAAAGGTTGTTAACTAAGAGTGTATTCATTCCCATCTTCCCCAACAAGTGCCTGAAGGGCAATGGCAGCATCCTTTAGCTGCAGCCTGTTTGTGATTTTTGTTCCTTTAAAAGTTAATGGAGTCTATTGACACTGTAAGACTGGGAGTCCTTCTGTCCACTGCTGGCACTGATATACTGTGTTTGAATTCTAGGGGTATAACTCTTCAAGCAGAAAGCAGGAAGGAATACGAGGAGGTAAAAATATTGTCTTAATGTTGTCATTCTTGTATAAATGTGAGCGTGAAGTGTTAAGCTTTCATTTTTTGCCTTCTAGTGGATATGTGCCATCAACAACATTTCCAGACAGATCTATCTCACCGACAATCCAGAGGTGGGAGATTGTTTCCATTTTTCAGTCCATTCTTTACCATTTGTTTTACTGTTGTTCATTACGTGACAATGCATCCAATGTTGCTCTGTTCTGTTTTGTTTTCCTAGGCAGCCGCAATCAAGTTAAATCAGACAGCCCTACAGGCAGTGACTCCCATTACTAGCTTTGCCAAAAAACATGAAGCTCACCATCCCAGGTACTGCACTCACTTTCATGGACAGGAGACTGCTGCCCGCTCAGTCACACTCCTTTCATGTGGCAGCAGTCACCCAGGAGAAGGTTCTATCTAGCCCCTGCCTTTACTGTCTTATGTGTTCCAGCAAGTTCCTTCTAAAGTTACCTGCTGAAAGCCAGAAGAGATGCAAAGAGTTGAGGGTAATGCTTACTATTCCACAGCCCAGCCTTGAAGCTCCATGTAGCTGCCACTGCATTTTTGTTGTTTCTTCTAAAACAAACACACTTTACTTCTAAGCGCTTTGCAGTAAAGGAACAACTTGTGATGTGGATAATACAGCAGAGCTCCCATTGTACACCGAAATATTCTTGCACGTTATCTCAACTAATTCCTGTCAGTCTGTCACAGGAGGATGCCTCACTGTGCTGTCAAAATAATTACTGTTGTTCTCATGTACTCTTTCAAGTCAGTCAATCAATCTTTGAAGAAGATGCAGGAAGAGATCTGTATGTGACACTTCTCAACTATCACGTTGCTTGTGGCCATATAAGATCTCAAAGACTGGCCTGAATTTTGCACGTTCAGAAACAAATCCAGGTCTCTGCGGTATGAACTGGTTACCAGACTGCAAATATGGCCACCAGAGGGCAGGGAGGCAAACAGAAGCATGTTCCTGGCAGTCAGTCCACACAGAGTTGATCTGCATTAGCATTTAATGTATCAATATATCAATATTTATTTGTTTCTAAATAATTGTAGGTATAAAAAATAGGACAGATTTTACCTTAGACCTCAGTAATACTGGTCTATGTCAGTGAATACTGCTTCAATCCACTTTGGATCTTGGGATAATCTTATCTCACTTCCAAAGCACAGATGTGGTGTCAGGTATCACTGATTAAATTTTTTTTCCCCCTTTTAACTTTAGCCAGAATGTAAAGAATACAGATAATGGTAAAACAACTCCTAGTGAATCAGCTGGCATTCAGGACTCCACACAACTTATTGCTCTTGGAACACCGATTCAGTTTGATATTGTACTGCCTGCCACAGAATTCCTGGACCAGAACAGAGGTGGCAGGTAAGGTCAGAGATGGTGATTTCTCACCTTAGCAGAGTGATTTTTGGAGGGGAGTATGAGGTGTTACAGCATTTATATGTGGTGACCAGAACCTATCATGATAGTTTTCATTCTTCTTTCTTAGGCGTGCAAACCCATTTGGGGAGTCTGAAGATGGTAGCAAAGATGAAGAGGAAGGTCAGTGCTTCATTTTCCCAGATAAAAGCAGCCATGATCTCAGGCTTAATTCAGCCCTCTCCAGTGTCTCTTAATGAAAGCACCTGGCATCCTGGCAGGAGCAGCAACCCACAGTATAGTTGAAGCTGGCTGTGTTTCAGAAACCTGTCTGTTAAATATCACTGCCTGTGAATCCAAACGCTTTCTTCTTTGACAGTCCAAGCTGTATTGCAAATTATGTTTATTTCAAAAGTTTACAGGCAAAAAGATTTGGTCTTCTTAGATCTGTCCCATTGCAAAGCAGGATAGCTCACAGAGGGGCTATGAGAAGCAGGCACCTCTACACCATCAGCAACAGCAGCATCTTGAGCCGCTGCAGGACATGGGATTGTGCAATGCCTGGTACCTGCCCTGTGTCTCAGACTGCACTGCCAGATTGCCATAGCACAGCTGAAGTGTAGCATTCTGAGTTGCTGCCACTTGAAGCAGTTTAAAACTGGGTCAGAATAACACCTGGCTCATAGAAGGCAATCACCACCCACACGTTTATATGTTTGTCTCTGTATTTCCAAGGGGAAAGAAAGTAACTCCATCGATATTTCCAACTACGAGAAAATGGAAGTAGCACAGTGAAAGAAGTTATGCCTTTTATCTTCCAGATTCACTCTTGCAGCAGATGTTCGTCGTTCGGTTTTTAGGATCCATGGCTGTTCAGTCAGACAACACAAGTGAGGTGATTTATGAAGCCATGAGACAAGTGTTAGCTGCTCGTGCGATCCACAACATATTCCGGATGACTGAGTCTCATCTCATGGTCACCAGCAAGAACCTGAGGTACTGCAAAATCTTCATTACTTACCCTTGTCAGTATGCAGTTTTCTTTGGGAAACTCGGGATGAGGCTTTTCTGCCTCTCCAAGAAATGCACCCTTCAAGGGAGAGAGATTCTGAGATTGACTGCACTTAAAAGAATATCCTCCTGAGTTCAGTTCTAAGAACATCCTGCCAAAATGTAGAGGGGGCAGTGGGGCTGTAAAATCCTACAAATACACTGGGAAAAAAAAAAAAAAAAGCATTAAAAGATTCTCTTACCTTACATCTAATAATAGCAGAAGAACCATTGCTCTGTCCTGTTTTCAGTAGTGTCACCGTAGAGTATATTTGGACAAGACTTTAAGTGGAGCACATGTTTGTACACACATACAGTGTTAGCTTGTGCCCACTGGGTGCTCACCCAGCTGGTGACTTCAAAGGTCAGTGTGACCAACAGGTTAAACAGCTGGGAGTTGGTCTGGAGTTAAACTTTGCAATTGACTGACTTGAAATCACAATAAAACATTTGATTCCATGCATATGTTTCCTCATCAGTAAAATTGATACAGTGATTGCCTTATAATTATAAAGCACCTTGATGTTACTGATAAGAATTGCTCTAAAAACATCTACTTTTTTTTCCCTACATGTAATTACAGATTAATAGATCCTCAAACACAAGTTACACGAGCCAGCGTAAGTAACTTTGTTTTGAATCTGGTTTTCTATCACAGCATTGAATGCTTAGGCCCATGAGCCTGAGCACTTGACCAAGACAGCTACATGCTGATTAAAAAAGGCTTTTATTACAATTTTCCAGTTTGAACTTGCCACTGTGACTCAGTTTGCTGCTCATCAGGATAACAAGAGACTGATTGGTTTTGTGGTCCACCTCCGTGAGACCCCAGGAGAAGAATCCATGAGTGCATATGTTTTTGAGAGCAACACAGAAGGAGAAAAGGTTTGCATAATGTTTGTTAAAGTTCTTTATTTCTATGTAATACTACAGTGAAGTAGTATTCTGCCTCTCCTTTTACACCCCTATTTAAGTTTGCATTGATACTTCTGTTTTAATCCTGATTAAGCAGCAAAATCAATAACAAAAACCTGAACTTTACCCACATTTCTGATTTCAGATCTGCTATGCCATTAGCTTGGGAAAAGAAATTGCAGAGGCCCAGAAGGTAAGCATATCAATTCCTCAGAGATGTGCTTGTTTTGCTGCATGTTTTTCTGCTTTTTCCACCCATTACTGTTTCACTTCTAAGTTAGAACTCCCATCCTTTTTTCCTTGAGAGAGGGGGAAAAAAAGGTTTTCCATTTAAAATAAATGGCAATGTTACCCAGCCTGTTGTATGAACACATTCATGTAAAGATGTGACACCACTGCAGTAACATTTCCTGCATGTTTTCACCACTGCAACTATAGAACAAGTTGAGGGAAATGAGCTTCTAGTCACATGCAGTAAGCACACTAAATAAGAACTGGGTTTTTGAAGTTTTTTCTCCTTGTTTTTCAGCAATTATAGCAGTGGCAGGTAAGAAAAGCATGATAAGGCTCAAAATAATGACTTTTTTACTTACCTAAGAGGTTTTCTGCTGATAGAGATTACGTTTCAAAACCTTAAGCCAGAATTATTCCCAATAAAACCTTTATGTTAAGTGTTGTCAAAAAAAAAAAACAACACAAAAACCTCAAGTTGCAAAGCATTAACATGTGCTGGAGAAAAGGTGCTCCTCTAAAAGATCGCTTCTGCCTACTGAACTTTTGTTTTCCTTCAGGACCCAGAAGCATTAGCTCAGCTGATGAAGTCTGTGCCCTTCACAAACGATGGGAAGTTTGTGCTGCTGAATGATCAATCGGAAGAGGATGGAGCCACACGTGAAGAAGGAGAGGAGTCAGAAGCATGAAGAACTCTTGTTGTTTTCTCCAGCCTGTTTGGAAGCAAGGAGAAGCTGGGAGGCTGTACAAGAATCTCTGTTTTTAAATCGTCTGTGCACACGTGAGGCCACAGCTTCTGGCACCTGCTAGAGGGATGGCAGCATCTTTGCAGAGGTTCCTCGGGCTTTGTAGTGAACAAAAGCAAAACTTTGGCCTTTGGAAATCTTTGCATTTGTGAATGTGCAGAGGAGGGCCTGGGACACTGGCATTCTTAGGCAATGTTCCAGCATGAGCCCCTTGCTGCTGGCAGCTCAGACAGCACAGCTGTCAGCCACAAAGGGTTAACATCACTTCCGCAGGCTCACAGGGAGCAGCCTTCACTGCTGCTGGAACGAGCACGAGTTGTAAGCTGTCAGCTCCTTTAGGAAATGCATCAGGCCTAACTTCTTCCTGTAGTCAGTTTTTATAGTTTGCATGATTATGTGCATCTGAATGAAGGTTTAAAATGCACTATTTACTTTATTTTCAGATGAAGTTATTTTTAGTCTAGTTTTAAGCATAACAAGATTTATCTTTTGTGCTAGCCTATTTACAGAGCAATTTGTTAAACACTAAATTTTTTCCTATTAATATAATCTATTTTTATATTGCTGGAATAAGCTTACAAAACAAATCTAAGTGCCTACTCTTACCTTTAAGGGGACCGCATTCACATTCCATCATGTAATAATGGGCACAACGTACCCCCTTGGTTTACTGCTGTGAGTACATGCAGACATCAGAGGCAGTCAGCAGTGGGGCACAGTGGCCAAGTGCGTTTTTTTCTGTGCTTAGGGATCTTAATTTTAAGAGAAGTTGTGGAGACAACTTGTAGGACAAGTAATTTTATAACAAAGAATTCTTTGTATTCTTAACATGATGGTGGCATGCAGCATTGGAGCCTACCAGCAATCTTCAGTTTTCAGAAGCTGAGCAATAAAATGCTAGATGAGCAGGCTGCAGCACATGGACTAGTTTCACTGCACATTCCTGACATTAGAAGCCATACATACCAGCTAAGAAGTTTAGATTTTCTTTCTCCTTCCAGCTTAACCTGAAGACATGAGAAGCTGTACTTGGCAAGAACAAACAAATAAATGGGAGTTACTGAAGAAAGAGGTGGGGGAGGCCGTATGGGACATGGCTTATAGTAATCAAGATGGAACAAACAGCTGAAAATTTGCAACTGAATTTGACTCATCTCAAGCACTTAATAGGAATTTAGGTTTTCTGTAAGCAATCTGTGCTAGGGCAGATGGATGAGTACAGCTTGCAGTGTTTGACATGTAGTAAATTCATTGAGCTGGTTTGCTGACTGTAAGAACCATGAAAGAAAACTGCTGGTAACCGACACAAGCATTCCTTCGTCAATAAAAGTTGGAGCTGTCTTATTAAAGAAATTAAACCCTCCTGCAGTTCTGTTACTGAAGACACTAAGAGTGAGGTTCTGAAAATTGTATTTATTAACAGTTTTATGTACAATAGGTACTCTACTCACACACCAAAGAGACTGAGGTAACAAAATACCCTTTTGTACAGTGAGTTAGGAAACATGGTTACATTTGGTCCTTTGTACCTGAGAAGCTGAAAATAGCTGTTGTTGACAGACATCCGATGAAAACTCAAATTTACTTCTAATTACAGACTTCATTAGGACCTCTAGGACCCTCCAACCAAAGCTAGACATAACCCAGTGAAGCACCCTCTACACCACCAGTGACCAATGCCTTTTGACCTCAGGGTGAATGCAACTCTGGGCATCAGCTGTGCTCTGCATCCCCTATGCAGCCCTATGGCTTGTGGCATAAAAGGGCCCAGCACCATCACAAAGAGGCTGCAAGGCCACCAGGGGAGCTGCTGCCACCACTTCTGCCCCCAACAGCCCTGGCCCAGGACACAGCCTTCAGCCTGTTCTGTGCCTGCCCTGAAGGAAAATAATAGATGCATTTTACATCCCTGCAGCAAACTTATCATCCTCCCTTTCCTTCATCACCTCTGGGAATTTCCAGTGAGCAGCAAAGTTCCATTTCGTTTAGAGAGTTTTATTATTTTTTTCTTTTTAGATCCATCCTCATCTCCAGCCAACCCGCTGGGTTCCATTTTGTTCCTATAATCAGAGCAGGAGGGTAAAAGCAATGAAAATAGCACCACAAGAATTCTGCACCCCTTCCAGGTAGTTGGGCAGGGGTTGGGGGGAGGATTTGATGTGACTCACTGACACAGGAGCACCATCCCAAACCAGGACCCACCTCATTGATATTTCAGGTAACAAAAGCTTTCTGCATATATATGCTGCTACATGACAATAAAATGTAACTATAATGAACTACAGTCCTCTATTAGCAAGAATAGCTCTATTATCACTGCACATATTCATATGAATGTATATACTTTTGCCACATACAGGATACATTCAGGTCCCACCATCCATCAGGGTTCTATAAAAACAGGCTTTTGTCTTTCCTGTAGAATTTCCATCACCAGAATGCCATGAGTTGGTTCACCACACATAACAAACTGCAGAGTGTTACCTAGCTAAGATCCCATCGGTCCAAAAATCATAGAAGGGAAAATACAAATGTGGACTTCAATAATTAGAGCACAGGTCATTGCTTGACTGCATCTATTTACCTAGCATATTCATCCTGAAGGAAAACAAATGCTCTGCATGGTTCTGCCATTGCTAGAGAAGAGCTGGAACTTACATGACTTGAGGTGAGACAAGGATATGGAAATACATACATTGCTACTGCAACATGATGGCAATCAGCAGAAGCACTGAGACTGCTGCTGTTCTCAGCAACCCTACTCCAACTGTTCAGTGCGGGCACCACTTGGTCAAAAAAGAAAGTGCATGTAAATTATGACCAAAAAAAAGCAAAATGAAGCAATGCAGCATTAGTTAGGGCACTCAGCAGTTGTAACAAAAATATGAACAAGGCCAGCTGATTTAGACAGCTTACAAAGCTTCTGTGTCAAATTTTCAGAACTAATGAAAGGACTTTCTTATCAGCCCATTCTGTCCAGTTGTAAGCGAAACGTTTGCCCCAGTTCTCTAAATGCTGAACTCACTGGCAGGAAAGGATGAATCAAAGCCTGCCAGGAATTGTCTTAGCCAACCTGTGGCCAAAGAGCAGACGGAACAATTTGAGCCATTTGTATTAAAACATCACCTTTTTTCTAATTAGAAGAGATGAAAAAGACTGTCAATTAAGTACAGTTAAGAGGGCCAAAAAAACCCCAAAAATAATTCTCATACTGACTAAAGTAGTTTATTCTAGCTAGTAAAACCTCAAAGTGTTTTATATTCCAGGAGATTAAAACACAACTGAGTCTTTCAATGGAAGTGGAATTCAGAATTCACTGTTAAGCTAACTCAAGCTACTTACGTCAGGAATCTGAGCAACTCTTGCACAATCTAAGAACCTCTGCTCACAGGCATTAACAGATGTTAAATTTTACACAGAGTTCTCACAGTGTTCAGCAGCTTCTGAAGCCTGCAGTGCAATTATTGTTAATAACCAGGAAACTAAGACTGTATTAACAACACAGAGAGGCAATGGACCTACAAAGGCTAAGAAAGACAGGGTTGAAGCTGAAACTTGCAGTTAGGCACAAGGTATTCATGAAGTGTAAGATCACTTAATAGTCACAGACACCCATCACACAGTGTCTGGTCATGGAAGGAAGAGCTGATTGTGGTTCTGTCTTGGCTCCTGATTTCCTTACTTCTGTGGATGCAAATCAGACTTTCAGAATGAAGTGAAAAAATAATTTATTACATTAATTTTTCTGCTTTTCCCTTTCTCTAATATGGGAGGAAAAAAGAACAGGGGAAGATAAATGCCTGGCAGGACCCTGATTCCAGAGTGAAAATAACATGCTAATAATAAAATTTTGTAGGAAAAAAAAAAAACACACGTTCATGAGAACTGCCGTTTTGTATAATAGCTTTAACATACATTCACAACCTACACTGTTACAGCTACAGTGTAATTTGTGACTACATTAGATACAAAAGGAGCACATGAACATCTGGACAACAGATAAGCAACGCATCTTCCTTTGATTTTCTTCTTATGGTTGATGAGATGCACGTGCCTTTTTTTTTTTTAATGTTTTGTTAGAGATGCAAGCAAGCATCTAAAAATTAAAGATTTTTTCTTAGATATGCACAACTGTAATTTAAAATAATTACCTCCAAGCTATATTTTATGTAGTTATTTTCAATCTAGAGAAAGTGCTGTTAGTAACATAAATAAATAACTCCTGAAAAATAGAAGTTTCTATAGGAAAAACAAACAAACACAGACCTAGCCCAACCAGATGCTAGTATACTATTGTACATTTTCTGTGAGGTTTAATAGAAAAAGTCAAATGAAGAGCTTTTACCCCTCCAGAGTGTTAGAGATAGTTATTCGAGTAAGTAATTATCACCCCCTACCAGCCACATCATTTCACAACAGGATCTGCAGGCGTAGAGTTGGAAAGATCTCCATTGCTTGCTTTAACAGAGTCTTCTATAAAAACAGAAATCGGAGACATGGATTATAGTCAACATTTTACTAAAGGCAGTAAGAACAAGATCTTAGCCTATGTATAGCATGCTGATGTCACAAAATATTTGATACACTGTACCACATATGCTAACTGCCCTCACAGCACAAAGGATCCTGGCCCTATGGAGAAATCTGTGTTTGGGGTGAGAGGTACAAGTAACTGCTGTCCTACAAATGTTTCCCTGAAAAAACCAAGGCAGTTACCAATCTAGCATTACCACAATGCTCTGAGATGGCTTTTTGAGTAGGACAGTTATTTGAGAAACTCCACAAATATAAAATATAAATCCACACTGAAGACCCCCTTCTTTGCAAACTGCTTTGGCTCAGTGATCTGGGAGGCAACAATGATTTACGTCACTGTCAGAACTACAGAGAAAAACTATTTGCCAATTCCATTCTTTAACATACAGCTACATTCAGCCGTGAGAGACCCAAGATTCTAAGCAACTTGCGACTGAGCTGCACTTCCACATTTTACTCCTCTTATTTCTTGGAGAATAGTTTTCCCATAGTCAGGAAAGTTTCCCATAATTCATGAAGGAGCATACATGAGCATGCACACAATGTGTCAAATTCCCACGATGCCCAAGTCAAGAGACCATAGCACAGATGGAGATCTCACCCTTTGAATGTAACTCAATGATAGACCAAAACACTTTATAAACATTAAACACATAGAAATCATGCATATAGTATTTGCATTGTATGTCTACGTAAAGTGAAAAACAGCTACCAAATGACAGCTGAGAAACGCTAGTTTATATTTCACATCCGCAAAGGTTTTGCAGAAAAGGCTGTCATTAACAAAATCAGAAATGAAGCGGGTAAGTATGATCCTGAAGTCACTGAACTTAATATTACTGCAAGTGTGCAGTCCTCCCTGCCCCAAGTTCTGTTCTCAGAAATCCAGTTTAAAGTTTCACTTTTCTGAAGAAGGTCTCAGTGAGGTGTTCGCAACTCCTTAATTATCCTGAACCCCATAAAACTCCCTCAGGAATACTGATTTGACCCAATAGCAAGGAAGTGGCTATGGAAGAAAGCATTTGCCCTACAAAACACACCCTCAAGAATCAAAGCACACCATATGCAATATTCACTCACCTTCTCTCTCCTTCTTTTCCTGGTTTTCTTCTGCTGCAGTTTTATCTGCTCTGAAAAATATTCTTGCACTACTTAGTGAAAAATAAAGGAGTTCAAATTCCTAAGAAAAAAGATACAGAAGAAGAATGTCAGTGTATCACAAAAATGAATTCACATACAAATCAATGTGATTTTTCAGAAGCATCAAAAGCAATTAGATGTCAGTATTAAAATCATTTCCCATTCATACCCCACTTAAATCCATCTTACAGGGCACGAGTCAGCCAGAAACTTTAAAGAGTGACTTAAGTAAAACAGCATCACTGCAATACATATGCTACCGGGGCCAAGTGTGAGGTTTCCAGCCATAGTGAAAATGTGGAACTGTTTGCCCACAGAAGCAAAGCCCATGCAACCCAATAATTTAAACAGCCGCATGTTCAATCAGTTACTGAACAAGCAGTAAGTATTCATAAACAAACACCTGCAGATGTGTCCTATAGCCCCCTCAAATCAAAAGCAAAGGGGACAGGAGGCATTTACACCTCAGTTGAATCTAAAAGTTCAAATCTTTCTTCTTCTGCTTGACAGCTGGTGTGCATCAAATGAACTCAGAGAATTCACATTCAAGAAATTTGGTTCACGGTGTTTCTTGTAACAAAGACTTCCCTACAACATTCTCTCCTACTTGAACATTAAGGTTCCAGTTGCATTAAGAGTTCTGTCCAGCAGACAAAGACTTCCAGCCAACCACCTTGAACTCCTGACTCACACAAATATCACAAACGCTTATGACATTGTGGCCTTCCAATATTTGAAGGGAGTGTACAAACGGCAGGGGTACGACTGTTTATGGGGGTGGGTAGTGGGTAGAATGGTTTTAAACTGAGATAGGAGAGGTTTAGGTTAGGTTAGATACTAGGAGGAAGTTTTTCACTCAGAGGATGGTGACACACTGGAACAGGTTGCCCAAGGAGGCTGTGGATGCCCCATCCCTGGAGGCATTCAAGGCCAGGCTGGATGTGGCTCTGGGCAGCCTGGTCTGGTGGTTGGTGACCCTACACATAGCAGGGGGGTTGAAACTAGGTGATCATTGTGGTCCTTTTCAACCCAGGCCATTCTATGATTCTTTGATTCTATGCCATCCCCTTCAGACAGGGCACCACCCTAGTCTTCATGCTCATTTTTTGCATTGCATTTTGCTAGGCAATGCTTTATGCTGTCTCAATGTTATGTATTCTTGATAAGCTCCTTCACAAAACAGCTACCAGAACTGCACTGACACAGAACAGAATCAGACCCGTGCTCTACCTGTAAGCAAACTTCCAGTCGCTTGTGAGTAAGGTTCATAGTTTGTAGCAGTTTTTCATCTTGATTAATTGACTGCACATTCTGTTGCTTAGCTACTGCTCTTATTTCCTTCACATACTTCTCTCGAACAGACTGGAACCAGTGCAGCGAATCAAACTCCTGGTACTGATCCAACAGCTTCAGAATGTAAGCCACACCTACAGTCATTAACAAAGCACGTGCCAAAGTCAACATGCAATTTATAACACATTTTGCGAGTGTTACTAATGGATCAGTTTAAGTCAATAATTCTCATGCAATTAGAATTCAAACTGCAATTGATTTAAAATTCAATCTAATGGGAAGAAAGTCATAATTAAGAATATCCAAAGATTTGTATAAACTCTAATCTACTGCCTGCAGCTTTGAAAGAAATCAGGGAGTACCAATGTACGACAAAACCACCTGCTGTCATAACTAATTATTCCACGCTAAAGAGATTCTGAACCAAACAGCCCACAAATCCATTGTGCTGGAGCCAAGGCAGTCCAAATTTAAATTAAGGGAAATGGGAACTCACAGAATTAGAAAACTATTCCTGCAAACATCAGGAATAATTCATTATACTTGCTTACCTAAAGACCCATCAGCATGCTGAAACTTACCCATTGCAAACCCATCATCAGTGAAGGCTGCCCCACTTTTGTTCTTCTTGTTTAATTTCTCTTTGCAACTGATTGAGTGCTCTACAAAATTGAGGGTCTGAAAAAGTGAAAAGCTGTCTTGGAATCATCAGGAGACTTAACAATATTATAAAATTTAAAAAAGATAATCACATGTCGTTAGGTGCAGATGTAGCTGACCAAAATGTCCAAAACTATGACATCTGTGCCTCCCATCATTAGGCATTTTTTTGTATGAAAAGCCCCAAAAGCCTAGAAAAACGACAAGCTTAGATTTTGGGAAACATTTGCACATGCATATGTAAAACACTTTCAAGTTTAACTGCACTGAAACAATTTTAAATGTAAAATGGACAGCATTTTCCTGAAACTGTGCTTATCAGAAGGAAATCCCACATGTAGGAAGAAAAAAAAAAAGGAAGAAGTTTGTCTTAACCCTTTCCCATCTCTCATTTCTACCACCATGGCATACTCATCCTCTCACAGTTCAAAATTTGCAACACTGCCATTTGAAAATTAGTTTCTCAATTGGTGCCCTTGTTTCAGCTGGAATAGAATTAGTTTTCTTCTTAGTAGGAACTATGGTGCTGTGTTCTGGATTTAGGATATGAATAATGCTGATGACACACCAATGTTGTAGTTGCTGATGAACAGTGCCCAGGTACTTTTTGGCTTCTTATATTGCCAGAAAGAAGCTGGGGTGCAAAAGGAGCCAGGACAGCTGACCCAGAATGACCAAAGAGATATCCCATACCACATGGCATCGTGCTCAGCAAGAGGAGGGAGAGACATTTAAAGTGATACTATTTGTCTTTCCAATAAACTGTTATGTGTAATGAGCCCTGCTTTTATGGAGGTGGCTGAATATCTACTTGCCACTGGAAGCAGTGAACAAATTCCTTGTTTTCTTTGCTTTTATGCACAGCTTTTGCTCTACCTACTGAAATGTCTTTGGCTCCACCTATGAGTTCTCACACTTTTACCTTTGCAATTCTCTCCCCTACCCCATCATGCAGGGAGTAAGCAAGCAGCTGTGTGGCACTGAGCTGCCTGCCAGGGTAAAACCACAACAAATAGGATGTCATGCCACAAAGTGAAGCTGTTAAGACCACTTAGGCCTTCAAACTGAACCACATCCACTCAGTTCAGCCTGACTCACAAGAAAACTCATTAACAAAGGCAAGTCTAATTGCAGTAGAAAGGGACATAGTCTTACTGAAGAAGTTTCTGAAGTTACTTTTTGAGTGCTAACACAAACTGGCATACAGACAAGAAACACATGGCCATGGATGACTGCCAACAAAGCCAACAAATGCTTGAAGCAATTTCATTCATAACCAGGAACAGGTTGCCCAAGGAGGCTGTGGATGCCCCATCCCTGGAGGCATTCAAGGCCAGGCTGGATGTGGCTCTGGGCAGCCTGGTCTGCTGGTTGGCGACCCTGCACATAGCAGGGGGTTGAAACCAGATGATCATTGTGGTCCTTTTCAACCCAGGCCATTCTATGATTCTATGAAAAAACCATAACGTGGTCACTGACAGTCTCATTCAAAATATTTAAACAAACCTGTATGCTTTTTCTCTTTCTTTTTTTTTTTTTTTTAAGTGCTGGTACACACAATAACAATACTCACCAGTGGGGGAACAATAATGTAGAAGTTCCTCAAATGCATATTCTTTGGACTGCGAAATTCAGGAGCAAATACATCCACAAGCATTTTAAAGTACTCTGTTCCTTCTGCAAAGTTACGTGTGAGGTCACTAAGAACAGAGTCCAATTGCCTGCAAAGGATAAGCAATGTGTTACCTGTTTTCTCCTAGAAGATTCTTTACTTAAGCAAAATCCCACTCTTAGTCCTTTGGCCATACCTCCAACCCAACATTCCAACCTGAGCCCAAGATTACAACCCGCCTCTACAGCCACCTTCCATCATATAGTTTGATTTTATTTCTGCAAAAACATCCCATAGAATAATTGCTTATTTTCCCCTATGGTCTTAAATATCCAAGAAACAGATAGCAGATGCAGTGAGAAATACCTGTTAGCCATCAAATCAAATATATTATCAAGAAACCAGGTTCTGAAACAGGACACTTTATATTCTTTTTTCGTTTTGAAAGAGTATACTTCATTTACTCTACTTTCAACAAACATTTTTGCACAAAATTAGTTGAACTTAACACACACAAAAGCAACCAACAGTTGCACTTACAGCTTTAGAATTAAAACCCTCTCCTCTCAACCCTGGCCCAGACCCCCAAGTGTGATGTTAGGGTACCTCGCTGCTTTCTGCGTTTCTTCTGAAAGTCCTTCTTCTTTCACCAGCTCTTCAAAATTAACGATATCTTCCAGATCAGGAACGAACCTGAAAGCTTACTGTTTGTTAGCATTACATTCAACTGGTTACATTCACTGGAGCATATACCATAATTTATAATAAAATTAAAATCTTCTGAGCTCAAACTACTTAAAATGATATAATTTCTGCTATACTCCTACCTGAGTGCCATTAAGCCCACTTCTCAACTCACACAAAGTTGTTTATACTTCTGCTTTTACCAGGCTACCATCTCTTCTCCCTAGTCCTTACCCTAGATAACTACAAGTTTACTAATATTTGCAAGAAATCTATTTCTTGGTACGTATGGTCACTAGTTTTCAGTGACCTTATAAAAGCACACAACTCTATGGAAAGAGGCATCAAAGCAGCATTAACTTCATTTTTAAATTCCTAAAGTCTGGTCCTATTTTTTCCTTTAACGCACCCTCTTGAAGTGATTAACATCAGTAATTACTGACTTAATTAACAACTAATGACATGTACAATTAGCTCCTTCACAGCGTATTTCCATATAATTTTGAGTGCTCTTTGGCATTTTTTGACAATGATTGACCAGGTCTGAGTTCAGGCTCTATTTCTGATTATTCCACTTCAAGAAAGGCATAAAAATGGACTTTTTAAATGTATTGAGTGATCAAATATTTATGGCAGATGGGTGAGAACTTTTTCAAAGAACATCAGCAAAAATGGGAAGCAAAGAAAAAAACCCAGAAGTACCTAATGGCACTGCTGCAGCAGTGAAGACCACCCGATCTTATCATTCGTACGTAGCCCATAGCATTGCCTTCAAAAACAAGAAAAAAAAAAAACAGGGAAAGAATTAATCTTTATTTAAAGAGAGAGACAAACGTACACCCACTTCAGAATTCCTACAATATCTGAAATGTAAGTTGCCACATAGCTTCAATAAAGAAATTGCTTTAAAAACCAAGCAAAGTAAAATATTACACTGAAAACTGATGTAAATAGTCTGTCCAGAGAATTAAAACCCAAATCCATAATCTAGCTGTGCTGAATTCATTTGCATATGACAGCATAAGGGCCAAATTCTTTCCATCAGGTACATTAAACACTTGCAGGTTCTAATCAGTCCTACACATCAACAGTATCCATGGCCAAAAATGCTATCACAGTGTCATGCATGACTTAAAATTACTTCAGCTGGATACACAGCCTCTGCCTGAAAAGCACAAGAAGGTTTGGCTTTGTTTTCTGGGAAATACACTCAACCTGGATAGAAGTCATTTCCATAATAAAGAGGAAAACCTAAAGGAACAGGCTTCTATGCAAGCTGTCTTAATCTAAAATGTGTCTACATGCAAGCCCCATTTCTGTGTAATTAGATGAGACTATTTATTTTCCCAGGTTACAGGAGAAGTCCATTCCATCTGACTAGAGTCGTATCTAGATTTTAGCTTGCACTAAGAGTTCAGTTACTAGACAATGAGTCCAGTGTTTCCATTTACTAACATTTACAACAGTGTTTTAGATAACATTTCATACCGATTTGACTTATGAGTTGTCTGAACTGGTCAAGGTAGCTCTGGCCATCTGGAGTTATTCCAAGTTTTCTGATGCCTCTGTTGAATTTATCTGCTCTTTCAAACGGATACTAGAAAAATATATTAATTTGTAAAGAACTGTCAGAGTTGGTTCTCCGTAAAACGTCTATTTTTTCATCACATCAATATATTTGTATTTACAGTGTATTCCATTCTCACACCATAGCTTCAGCTTAGTTATTTATTTTTTAATTATATACATTGCCCATCCCTAACAGTTTGCAAAAATCATTTGACTAAATCACTTCTGTAATCTGGAGAACGGAACAGAATCATTACTGTGAATAAGAAAGTATTCCTAGAAGAAATAAGCATCCAACACGCAAAGAGCCTGACAGCATATTTTACTGAAGTTTGTCGCATTCATATTTTTAAGAAATCAGTTTTTCAGCATAGAAAATTAGACTCTAGTACCCAAATCTTGACATATTTGAATAAACGCTACGTCTTCACATCACCTTGGATTCTGACAATTGTTAAACATTATTTGAATCTCAAGTTTAGGGTCCTCCAACAGACTACAGCTTCATCAAATCATTGTTTTCAAATCACTGACGGAATTATTTTTGCCTATTTCATGGTAAAGAAAATAATCATGGAGAAAATAGAATACAACAAAGCCAACCCGAACATGGAAATTCAAAACATTCAATTTTGCTAGGAAAAAAAGTTGTCATTTCATCTGCAAATGCACGTATAAATAACAGGAAAGTTCTCCAATGTAATGGCTCAGTGTACCTTTAGGCACACGAGACCAGCACTACTTTTTTTGACGGGTTACCCACAAGTCTTCAAAAATTACCTTGTGATCATTTTGATCCTTGACTTCCCTGAAGAATCGGATGTCTTTGATAAGCCTGGATTTGATATGTTCATCGTACATGAACTGGCTAAAAATATAAAATTTTTTCCTCAAAAACTGGTAAGTGAAGTTGACCTGGAATAAAATGAACAGTCAAACCAAGAAAGTTGTAAAAGCAACATGCATCTCTAGTGACCTCTGTTCTATGGCTTACAAAGTAACTTGTGTTTATGATAATGTAGGAAACTTGTCAATTTATTTCAATCTGCTATTCTCAATTTACCTTACTAATTTCAGTGATCTAAAAGAAAGAGGAAAAAATCCCTCCTCATGGAAGGCCTCCAGAAAGGGCAAAGGGACCAAGAAACACAGTAGCTATTTCAGTTTGCTGATCTCTCCACACAGCCAACTATTTTACATCTGGAATATCCTGAAACTGTCCTTTTGAAACAATACAAACATTTGAAGTTGAAAAGGGCATCACACGTGCTCAGTGTCTTCATTCAACTCATGGAATCTGTACTAACACCTTGACAAACTTTTTTTGTTTCCTCAAAATTTTCTAAAGTACTCTACCATGAAATAGGAGCACACTTTCACCGTACACATCTCAATTACTTCTCATGTCTGCATAAACAGCTTTACTGGTGATATGAAGTTAATAAAGCACCAAAATCTGCATCACTAAGAAATGAGTGAAGTAACAAGACAGTTTTTTTTTGAGTGACCAAAACCCCCAAGATTAACTATTTCACAAACAAAATCATTCACAGAATAGAGCAAGGGAAGTTACTTCTCACGGTGCAAGGAAGCATGAAAACCTTAAGGTCCTAACAACCACTTGCATAGCTTGTGCCAAGCTCAAAGTTCTAGCTTCAGTGATCACAGATCTTCCTTTGAGAAACTAGATCTCTTGAAAGCTGATGGGATTCACATGGCCATAAGGATGAAGAGCACATTGTCAACAAGTGGCCAGATTTGTAAGGAGAGCTTTAAACTAAGCTAAGGGAATGGGGTGAAGCTTTGCACAACAGTTGAGAGTCTTTGGATGCTGACCTACTAGGAAATAACAGGGAAACACTTGCAAATGTCTCAGAGGAATTCAGGCTTGCTCCTTTAAAAATAGGATACAGTTGACAGCCCAACAGAAGCACCTCCATACCAACACACAGCATCGGTAACAAATAAGGGAAGGTAGAAAACACTGTAACTAGAAAGCTATGAACTAACTGTTGGCACTGAAGTCTGGCCAGACAAATCCTGCAACAGCTGAAGCACTGCAATTCAGGACTACAAACTGTTCAAAAGGGACAGGCAAGAAAAGAGACATGATGAGATTGCCTTTTATGCAAAAAAAAAAAAAAAAAAGTAAACAAATGGATTTCACAGACTTGTCTTTGAAAAGCAGCATTGAGCAGTTGAGAACTTCTAGCTGAAAATCTGAGGGCAAGCCAAAGGAAACATCGTAGACAGTGCTCAGTACGGGCCACCCTATCAAGAGGGAGGATGCTGACAAAGCTTTCTCACATCATCTACAGGAAGCACCACACTTGCAGGCTCTGATCCTTCTTGAATACCAAAATCACTCCCAATATCTGCTGGAAAAGCAGCACAGCAAGCTATAAGCAGTCTAGGATGCTCACGGAGCAGGTCCCAGATACTTTCTTAATCCAGAAGATAGCCCAACCAGAAGAGAAATATCATTGAACCCACTGCTTACCAACACAAATCTAACTAGAGAAGTCAACATTGGCAGCTGTATGGGCTTGCAACAATCATGTCCTAGTGAAATTATGGATCCTGAGGAGAATAGAGGCTAGGCAAAGAAAAAAAAGACAATTCCAGGCTAAAAAACTTGCAGTTTAAGGAATTAGAGGATAGGAGTCTCTAGGAAACTGCCCTCAGGGACAGAGGAGCAGAAAAGACCAGTCAGCTCTGGATAGGAGCGGTCCTTGAGAGCACCCCAGTGGAGAAGGACCTGGGGGTCTTGATAGATTAAGAACTTAATATGAGCCAGCAGTGTGCCCTTGCGGCTTGGAAAGCAAATGGTATCCTGGGCTCCATCAGAAGAGGGGTGGCCAGCAGGGACAGAGAGGTGATTGTCACCCTCTACTCTGCTCTTGTGAGGCCCCATCTGGAATACTGCGTCCAGGTCTGGAGCCCCCAGTACAAGAAGGATGGGGAGCTGCTGGAGAGGGTCCAGAGGATGGCCACAAAGATGATCAGGGGACTGGAGCACCTCTCCTACGTAGACAGGCTGAGGGAGCTGGGCTTGTTCAGCCTGGAGAAAAGAAGGCTGCGGGGTGACCTCAGTGCAGCACTTCAATACCTGAAGGGAGCCTACAAACAGGAGGGGAATCAACTCTTTGAAAGGGTAAATAACTGCAGGACGAGGGGAAATGGTTTTAAGTTGAGGGAGGGGAGATTTAGGTTGGACGTCAGGGGGAAATTCTTTACAGAGAGACTGATGAGGTACTGGAACAGGCTGCCCAGAGAGGTTGTGGATGCCCTGTCCCTGGAGGTGTTCAAGGCCAGGTTGGATGGGGCCTTGGGCAGCCTGGTCTAGCATTAAATGGGGAGGTTGGTGGCCCTGCATTGGTTGGTGGCAGGGGGGGGTTGGAGATTCATGATCCTTGAGGTCCCTTCCAACCCGGCCATTCTGTGAATCTGTGATATTTTACTCAGTGCACTAGAACTCTTGATTCCCATGGATAAGAAACCAGGTAAAGAAGACAGGAGATCAACACAGGTGCATAATGTTAAACTAAAGTTTGAGAAGTAAATGCATGGGCAGTGGAACCAGGGAGATTTCTCCTGGGAATAATACAGGAACACCGCCTGGATGTACAGGGATAGCATCAGGAAACTTACAGCACAGAGATGAACTTGGCAAGGCATGTCAGGTATAATAATATGCCACTAAGAAATGCAGAGGTTCAACCTTCAGTACTTCAACACATCACTAATGAAATTTATCTGTACACTTTGGTGCACTGTTAGAAGTGGTATTCAGGAAATGCAAACAAAAAAAACAAACTACCAGCTATGCAATAAATACTCACTGTTGTGTTCATGATTCCTGTTCCATGAGTTCGAATTGAGTTAGCAACATGTCGAATATTGATAGTGTTCAAGTGTTTGTTGTTACTAGTTCTTTCAATGAAGATCTGGGACAGCAGGAGAGGAAAAAGTTATTTGCTATACCCAAAAACTGACTGTGAAAAATTACTAATCTAGGTAGGTCACATCCTGTTTTCTAAGAGCAGCTAGTAGCTGGTGATTAGGGAAATAACAAATAAAATAGAGCAAACACACAATGAGCTTTATCTGTTATGTTCCGCCAGTCCCGGAATGCTGTGATTCAACAATTCCCAGGCAGATGCTGCACCTAACTTTCTTCTTTAAGACAATAGTCCATTAATTGGCCCAAACTCTTCTGACATTGTTTGTACTTTTGGTCCTACTGTATATCATGGCAATGAGTTCCAACATCAAATTTAACAATGCCAGAAAAAGTACTTCCTTTTCTCTAAAGCAGCTGCTTATTTTCACAGAGGGTACCCTTGTTCTCACATGAGGAAACCACAGAGTTGCTCCCTGTACATATTCTTCATGTCATTCACTGCTTCACAACTCTAACAATCCATCCTCTTACATCCCTTTTTTCCCCCCCAAAAAATCATGTATTTCACACATCCTTTTCTAGCAGAAAACCTGCCCTGCTGCAGTCGCCTAGCTCCAGAGCTTTTGACATTGAGTGATCTTACTGGCACACGATAATCAAAGCATGCTTACTGAACACCCTCCAAGGTCTAAATAGAGTATCCCCAAAGATCTTCTAAAGCAGCAACAGCTACTGTGCAGTTTGTCACTACATATATTCAGCCTGGGTTGTGGTCTTACACGTATGATTTGCACTTGTCTTCAGCTGGAGCCAAATTCAGAAAACAAGTATAGAATGCATCTTACCTGATTATTCAGATTGTAGAGGTAGCGAGATACAAACACGTGAATATTTCTCATGATTTCCAAAACATCTAGACCCTGAAACATCACATATTATCAATTTGTATCATGATAATTCTCAAGAACCACTGACATACCTGATCACCAGGACTTTAAAGCACTACTTCTGTAGTTACTTGAAAGCATTTTAGGAAAAAATGTTTTCCGTTTTCAAAATGTAATCTCTCCACAATTTTAGTTCGTTGCTTGTAAGTTGACACGTGGAGGCAAACAAAAGAAATTCAGTTCACATTTAAAATTTACACTTCTGCCTGTTTCCATTTCCAAATCCTTCTGAAATCAAGGGATGCACAGCTCTATCCCACAAACACAAATTTATTTTTAAAATTCTGCTCTTCTCAGATTTCAGGAGACAGGTTTCTATGGACATGTGGATGTCTATAAGGACCTAAGCAGCTAGCTACTTTTTGATGTTATTTCGTCCAATATCTCTAGAATACTAAGTCTGAAAATTGTTTTGCTTGATAATCCCTTGAATAACTCCTTTTAGTATCGCTTGTGCATAGAGAGGATACTGTTTAATCTAGACATTTTCCAGTTGTGCCAAGGATTGTGCCAGGATTTTGTGGGGAGTCAGGCACACATCTGTTTGTGTGTGTATTTTTGTTTTGAAGTGAAGCTCATACAAATGACTGCTAGGAAACCAATGTTGTGAAATGATTTAACTCTTTACAACTACATAATGAACAAACACCATTGGCAATAGATGCCAATAACAAAAGCCAGAAATAGAAACTATCATTCACAGTACTTTTGTACTAAGTAGATTTTAAAAAAGTAGTTCAACGTTGTCTTTTATTTCAGGAATAAAAAGCCAACATGAGCATTAAAGGAAAAAAAAAAAGAGGCTCTAAGAGCTTTCACTCAAATGAGGGTATGAAGCTAACTGTTTAAAATATCAAAAATATTAAACTTTGGAGGGAAAGGTCATTGAAACAAATTGTACTTCTTTAGTATCCACCCTATAAACTGTGAGTGCCTATATCATTGACTTGGTATTAAACAGACGGTCAATTTGACAGCTTAATGGAATAAATGATGCAGTATACCTGTTCCAGAGTCTGACTGGGAAGATGTGCTTCAGTCATACTTAAACCATAGCGCTGAGTTGCTAGGTTTCTCATTTCACTGTAGGTAGCCCAGTCATGTAGAGCCACGGTTGTTAAGTTGTAGAAGGTCTTGTCCAAATAGTGAGTTACATGAGCTGTAAACACACAAATGAAATTATCTAAAAATCACCCTTTCAATTTAGCTACAGAAGCAAGGAAAAAAGTAAAAATATATACTAAACCAAATCACAGCAGAGATGAAAGTAAAGGGATCAGGACAGTGTACAGCAACTCACCTTTTATATCAATGAATCGATTGAAAAACCGTATTGGGTTGAGAAAGAAGAAGTGAGCTAGATCCTTCATACCAACTCTGAAGGGGTTTCTGTCATCCAACTTTAGGTGTGTATGAACTGACAAGCGCAGGTCCTTCTCTATCTCTTTACATAATTTGTCCAGCAAGTGCTACTCAGAGACATAAAATTAAAAAATAATTAAAGAAAAATCATTCAGTCCCTTCAGAACTGACATCTCCTTTCAAATATGTTCTCAATCTTCTTATCTTAAGATAGATAGATTAGATAATCAGACCTCATTCAGCAATTTGGTCTGATTTTCTGCAGAATATGTAACATTTGTTTTTGAACTAGCCAAAAAAAGCTGTTCAGGGGTTAAAACCTAAGACTTGGGAAATCTGAATTCACATTTGCTCTCTGTCAAACATTCTTTATAATTCTAGGTAAGTCATTAGAGATTACCCACATTCATAGTGCCTCTACTACTAAAAGCCAGGTATGTACACTAAGCATAGCATTACACTTTAGGCATCCATACAAGCAGAAGTTGATCTGAGAAACTGCACTTCTCTGCCCGCACAGTTGAAACTGTAACTCAGATTTTGACAGCTTATATAATTTAGAGGTTAGCATTTTCAAGTTCTTGGACAACACAGATACCACTAATAATATGTTGTAAATATTCAAGCTGGTAAGTGATCATTGTCTCAGTTACCGAAATACTTCACACCACCTCAAGGTTGCTAAGATATTTTTATACAACACATCAGGCCTGGTACAGTTGATGCTGGTCTAAAAGACACTCCAAACACAGTGCTGCTTCCCATTTCCTTTTCAAATAAATTACCTCATTGAGCACTTCCATGATTTCTTTGTCATAGCACTCCAGAAGCACCTCATAAGATTCCAAATGTCTTGCATGCATCATAGCAGGAACACAGTCCCTCAGTGCACTAAACATATACTGAGAAAAGAAACTTTTATGCTTAACTAACAGATTGACAAACACATCAACACCTTAAATACTGAGTGCTCAAAGCTAATAAACAAATCAAAACCATCAGTATTCCCATTTTTATCAAAACAAGACTTCATTTACTACTACAGCTCCTTTTTGCTAACATGACAACCTAAGGTACTTAGTTGCTGCTGATCTGCTCCCAGGAAGGCTGTAATTATTAGCAATTTCATCTTCAACAATCTGTACTACAATCTGTATGCTATAACTGACCATGGCATGCACAACAACTGATCAGATCATTGATTTTATCAGGATTAGTACGACAATGCTTAGAAGTGCTTCACTTCTACAGCAAGAATTTAATACTGCAAAGAGAGGAGAAGTGGAGGGGAAGAAGCTACAGTCAGTTATCCCACACTGTATCACAGAACGTGGCGTCAAGTGCAAACAAGGGCTTAAAATGCTCAAGTCTAGCAAAAAGTATTAACTTCAAATTAAAGTGAGTGGAGACAGACACTTGAAGACAAATTTTTAGAGTGCTAACAGCGCTCTTTGGATTTTGAACAAAAATTGCTTTTACATCCTCCAGGTTGAAAAGACATTTCCTTCTTATGAGTCACTCACCTGAGTTTTGCCTTTTTTTTCCCCCCTGCATTATTTTCCTTGTTTGTATAATAAAGCTTTTTCCTCTACTCCTTTGAATCCCTCCCACTGCTAACATTATTACTTACATGTAGTCTAGCAGAATCAACTGCATTTTCATATACATCATCTAAATAGATTGGAAAGACTGCTCGATGCCAGTATAAGAAACAACAGTCACATTGTGCTCGAACTCTAGAATAGAAGATTACTAATTAGACAAAGAATTGGAACAAGTTGTTTTTCTAATACAGCAAAATATACGGTGTGTTTAAGCTAAAAACAACTACTCTCTGAGCTGATTTTTTTTTTTTAACAGTTGTTTTAATGTTCCAGGTGTAATGTCCTTCAAAAATCCTTGAAAAAAAAAAGTACTCAGCATTTCTGTTTTCAATTAGTCTATTTACAAACAAAACATCTCATTTACAAATAAGGGCTAGTCAGTCTGTGAAAAAAACTAAGCCTTACTCCTCAGCAAAATTCTAAATAATTTTCTTATTGCGTGCAATTAGCAGCCTAGAAGCAAAACATACATTCTGAGCTTCCTCTGCAGTCAAAGAAAAACAGAAACAGGCCCCTCCTGATATAGCTTGCATGCGATACTCACCCAAGATAAATTACTTTATCCCATAAGTTATCCACTGGAGATCTCCATAAAATATACACAGTACAGATATTCACCTGGCTTTGAGATAGCTAACATTACACAATGAGTGCCCCTAAAATTACACCCACAGTGATAAAGCCACAGAACTGCGTGTGAATTAATGGTCTGGTATAATCTCAAAATAAATTCTTAAGGAAAGCTATCTGATATCAAAAGTAGCTATAGCAAATTTCATGTTAGATAACTGACTACTTCAGTTTGCCTTACAGCCTAAGTACCAGTACCAACTTCTAAAAGCTACCAGATTCTACACATAAATGCACCTGCAGAGACATTTATGGCTATCAGGTGATTATAGCTTGAGTTAAGATGAAGGCTTTAATTTAACATAAAGCCTAACTAGCTTCATGTCTTACGAGGTGACACAATTTCAAAATGATCAGAAGTATATTAATCTAGCCAGCCACAGTTAAGTAAAACATGACTTGTGTTTCCCACCCAAAGATTAGCAAGCTTCAGGTTTAGGTTTAGAATTCTTTCTGTCCATCCCTGGTCCACAACATGCAAAAATCAGAGCATGCAGCCACCAGATTTTGCAACCTGCCAAATGAAAAGCCAGCTCCCCTGCTCTCTACGTATCATATGTCACTGCCTACCTCTCCGTAAGTTCACTGATCAAGTCTAGTTTTTTCAGAACTAGCTGGAGGGGAAGGAGTTCTTCATCTTTGAAAGTTTTCTGTTCAAAAGAAAAAGGCTTTGTAAGATACAACACTTGGGATGTCTTTTCCAACCTAAACGTTTCTATGATTTTAAACAAAGGTCTGTAATAATTACAGCACTCACCATTTGTGTTCCCACACTTAACGCAAGGGAAACAATCAGTCGCCTCTGTTTTGTGCTGGGCCCATTGAGGGTATTCTCAGCCAACACCAAAGCAGAAAGGACATCCAGGCGTTGCTCACTGTACTTTTTATCAGAAATGACTCTTTTCTTTATGACAGAAAGACAGAGAAATTAAGAGAAAAGTTAGCCCAAAAGCAATAGCTTACCTGCCCTTTTCAAAGTTTATGAGCTTGCTGTAAATTGGGTATTCCTGACACCAAATCAGGTTTTGTGAACAGAGCTGAGTCCAGATTCACATACTGTCCATTCAAACATATTATATAACTATAAACTTGAAATATGGGTGTGGTGATACAGTACAAAAATACTGTGTAAGCTGCATCGTATCTGTATGACAATTAGAAGTTGGGAACTTCTTCAGCCATACATATACATGCCAAGTATACTCACATATATTTATATATCTACATAACAGCTTTTTAGAAGTACTTTTTTGAGAGGAACAGATGTCAGACAAACTGAGATTACAGCCAAATTCCAAACACATCAAACAATTTTGGCAATTAAAGAAATCTACTGTTAAAATTGTAATCTATTTTGTCTTACATTTGGCTGATAAGCAAAATGTGTGTTAAACTCATATCTTCCTGTAAACAAAATATGTACATATGATGGTGCATCACCACCAGAAGTTGTTCTGCCTCACTGAGATGAGCAGTGAATTTACGCTCTCACCAGAGAGCGTAAGCCAATATGATGGCTTTCCCTGTAGGCCATTATATTATCCACTTAGTGAAATAGCAGTGGTTAATGACTTCGTAAATAAAAGCCCTCTCGCTTAGATTTGCATCCAAATGTTTCTAGAATGCAAACCAGAGATGACATTAAAAAAAAGAAAGTCAGTCTGAAAATCACTAGAAACAAAAATTGAAGTGAATACAGTGAGGATGCAGGAGTTGAGAGTAAGACAGGACCCCAGCTGGGCAAAAAAACCAAACAAACAGAAAGCCATCATCTGTGTTACAGTTTCTAAGATAAAACTCAGATTTACTGTAAAGTTTATGTATGTGTCTATCACTTTTGCAAAACTAAGACAAATACTTCCACTTGACATTAAAAGTTTGAGTTTCTTTAAAAAAAACATTAGATAGATATAACAATTACTAGAACTTGGGTTACATACCTTGGCTACAGAAATGGAATGAAGAGCCTGATACTGCAGATGCTGAGAAATGTGTGTCACAGAATCTGCCACAACCATACTTCTTCGGTAAAACATGTGTTCTATTGCCTTAAATCAGTGCCAAAACACAACAGTTGATGTAGTTATCAAAACTGTCACCTTCAGAACTTGTTTTTATGCTGGCTGATTCATCCATACATACAGACTCTTTACACTTTGAAATGTATTGACAGTTGCAGTTGCAATTAACCCTCAGAAACAGAGAAAAAAAAATCAAGCCATACACGAGCATAAAGAGGTTTTGTTTGTTTGTTTCATGGTCATTCGTCTGAATAATCCAGCTCTGCTCAACAAAATTTTAGAAAGCAATTGCAAAGCAGACTATTTCCTTTTGGAAAAAGGCTGAATAGAAAATGCCAACTAAGGAAGCTGATTACACCCATTAGTTCTGGTCTCCCAGTCTTCCTGTACAAATCCAGTCTTGAAAAAGAAATCATGCAAAACTACTTCCTCATTCAGGTTCCCCATTTCATCATTTTCATTCCCACCCTTTTTTTTTTCCCCCCTTCATTTCAAATACACATGATAACTGATCAACAGTTCTCATCCAGTGACCTACCTTCAGAAGTTCCACAAGTCTGCACAGAGCTTTCACTGAGGTTTTGGTCATAGGTTTTTGCATTGACATGTAGAGATTCATTGTAGTTTTAATGATGGTGCTAAGACTGTACGCATAAAGAAAACCCTAAAAATAAAGTAAGGAACAGAAAAAAAAAGTTTCTTTTTTTTCCACTACATATTATTCATATGCACCAGGCAATTAACTTTTACCCCCAGAGAACTCCCACCTGAATTGGGAAGTCTGAGATGGATCTCAAAGCTGAAAGAGACCAAACCTGCCTAACAGTTATTAAATCATATGATCATTAAACTTTCCTAGAATCTTTCAAATTAAGCATAAGTCAGTAAATTAGTCAGTGAAGCTCTCTCAAGTTAAGAGAAATACTTGAAAGTTTCACCATCGAATGTTTAGTCAGATTCACTTCTGCCATATGGGTATGCACCTTTTACAGGTTTACTTAAGAGAGCATCAAACAGGCATTTCAAGTTTTAGCTTAGTCCTTTTAACACAGATGATCACAGAACTTCAGTGATTTCTTTTAACGTCTAACAGCTCATACAAAAACCATCTACTTTTTGTATCTTTTTCCATATCACCACATTCAAAGATTGCACACCTGAATGAAGACATTACAGCGGTTAGAAAGATCTTCAGCAAACTTATCCATGCGCTGCTCTTTTGACAAGATAGATTCCATCTTTGTCATCCATGAGCTCACAAAGACATAATATGACTGCATATCTCTGGACAGGGAAACAAACAAACTGTGTTTAAGGAAGACTATCACAATTTTCTATTTCCAAAGCCTAAATTCCTCTATGGGAAATATACTACAGGTTCAGTCCCCAGAGTACTAGTTCTCTCAATTCCTGAAAGCATCTGAATCTCATTATAGCATACATTTCAGTTATCTATAGATAATCCTTATCCTTTCTACAGATAAGATTAGTTAATCTGTCCATTATATCTGTGCAAGAATACCCCAAAGAGAGCCAAAACCTTCTGTATTCTCTCCTTTCAAGAGAACAACAGCTCTCTAAGGAGTACATACACTGAACTTCTCTAAAATTATATGGTAAATAAGTCTAAAATGGTTAATATGGCAAATAAGGCTAAAAATAATTCTAAACAGTAGCCAAAAACTCCTCCAAGAGTTTCTAATTTTTCCCTCTAAATTGAAATTTTTATAACATATCATAACTTTCCACATCCATACCATCTCTTGAAAAGCATACTTCTCCATAAAATAATCTGTCTTAATTATACTAGTTATAGGAAGAAGCAGACTGAAACATAAGTAAGACAGTAGTGAAAAAATAATTTGCTCGAAGACAACATAGGCATGGAATTCATAGAATGGCTTAGGTTGGAAGGGACCTTAAAAGCCTATCAAGTCCAAATCCCATGCCATGGAGGGCTGCCACCCCCCAGCTCAGGCTGCCCAGGACCCATCCAACCTGGCCTTGAGCACCTCCAGGGATGGGGCACTCAGTACCAGCGTCTCACCACTCTGAGTAAGGAACTTCTTTCTAACATCTAATTTAGTTTCCTCTCTTTTAGTTTAAAGCCATTTTTTCCTTGTCCTATTATTACGAGATTGTGTAATAGCTATCCCTTTGCCTCCCCCCAGCCCCTCCTCTCAAACTAACTTCCACATATAGGGTGAAAAGTAAACCTCTGAAATTCTAGTGTTTATTTCTGTCCCACCAACCAATTTCCACCCTCTTGGATTGGTTTGCAACAAAAACAAATTTAGCCCTGTTATGCCCCTATGAAGTGCATTCATTGTTCATAAGACTGACAACTCAGAAGTTTCAACTCAGCTTTTAACAGATTTTTTGAAAGAACTTTGAGAAAGAAATGACCTGCAAATGACACACACAGCACAAAAAAGAAGCCGTTTGACAAGTACAGTTTCACAGACCATTAAATAAGCAATTGAAGACATAAAGAAAATAAATGCTTGCAGAGGAAGTATCAGAGTAGAGAAGAAATCCCTCCATAAACTACTTAACCTATATGGGACTAATGTCCATGGACACACAGAAACCAAAGAACCTTAACAAGAAAAAAGTCAGCTCAGGTTACTAGACATTAATTTTAAAAAAAGCTTAAAGTATAAAAAAAGTTACCTGAGAAAAATCAGACACTTAAAACCATCAAGAACTTTGTGATTTAGGTCAAGTAATAACAGTTTTTTCTGAGAGCATGAAAAAACACTTAGCTCTGACCAACACTTTTCAAGCAGCACTGGTAGAAAGTGCACCAACTTTTTTCTTGTTACTTAGTGTACTAATGTATTTTGTAGCACTGCTAAGTTTAGGAAAGAATAAAGAAACCCACGTGTTTACAAACAGTACAATGAAGTAATATTTAGGTAGCATACTTGGTAAGTGACTGAGCCTTCTGCTGTAAGAAGTTTTCCCTTTGTGTTTTAATTGTATGAATACTTTTCTTGTCCAGAAGTTTGGCAGCAGCTGGTATCTTCTGAATCAGAAAGCTATCAGCAAACCAGATAATGTTTGCAGTTAACGTGATAGCTGGTACCTGTAGTAAAAAAGTAAGTAAATAAAGGGGGGGAGGGTGTATATTAATAAGTGTAGGGAAAGGCAATAGCAGATAACCAGTTCTAAATTATCTGAAAAAGGGTGATGGAATCTTTCTTTAACTGAACTGTGACCAAGGATCAGGGCTTATCAAGTACTCCAAAAGGAGGGATCTCCAGGTAGAGAACCTTCCCTGGTAGCAGCCCATCGTTAAATGAGACTTAGGGAGGTGAACTGCTTTCACTTGTGCTCTCTGAGCTAGATGTGTCCCTTCACCAGGTATTCAATCACTGATTCAGGCTGTGACTTAGCAATTAATAAATGACGAATGTAAGTAATTACATGAAAACACTACGACACTATGCAGAGGGTCAGACCTTTTACTTATCAAACATCTGCTTTTCATGCCTCTTGTGAACCACAACAAACAATTCAACCTCTTTTATATCTGCATGATCAGTTTCTAAGTATAAATGATCACATTTTAAAAAGTCCTCTAAAAAATTTTCCCCTAAAAGTCCATTAAGCACATTACAAGCAAAGCTGTTACCATTGTCAGTGTTTCCTCTTCAGTGCTACAGAATTTAACCATTCCTTTATACTACTCAAAATGGAAAAGTTTTTTTGATCACCTTTCACTTAGAGGGCTTTCAAAACATGCGTACAACCAAGCCAAATCTCAAAGCATTTATTCAGTCCCACAAGGTTCACACTTCAATCAACAACTGTTTGTTCTCACTGCCACATTAAACTTGAGAATAAACATTTTAATGGTAATTTTAAGTTATTTTACATTCCTGCTTACTAAGTATAAAACACAAAGTGAGTGCACGGGTTTTAGACCATCTTTTAAAACAAAGGAGAGAGGGGGAGGATATTGTAAAAAGGCAAAAAAATTTGAAGTCTGTTCTCTGAGTTGTTTTGGAAAATTGTGTGTTCTTTCTATTCCCAATCCTTAAGCACACTAAACAGCCAAGAAAATTAACCCCTTCATTTATATAGACTATTCCTTTCCTCTTAATAATTAACAAAAAGAGCAAAGCACTCACCTTTTTGCAGACATCCAACAATGACTTGTAAAATTTCTTGTCTATGGTCCGAAAAATCTGAAAATGCAGTACAAAGAGGCCGCAGATGCCTACATATTTATCCCTCTGGTCAATTTCTGAAGGTTCACCTGCAGAAACACACACACAAGAAAGTCCTTTTAGAAGTCTACTCACACGTTTAGAAACAGTGAACCTGACAGGAGAAACATCAGCTTGCATTACCAAGTTTGCCTTCAACATTTGCAAAGGCCGTGCGAAGAGCATGAGCAAATTCTTCAGCAAACGCGCTATTCTTCGACACAGACACTCCACCATTTATGGAATCAAACTGCTGTTCTATACAGGCCTATAGAAAAAAAAAAGTTATAATGCTGTGAATTTCAGACCTCAAAGAAAAAAAAAAAAAATCAGCAAGAGAAGAATTATGCAAGGGTTCATTGGTATATGTCATATGGTGCTTATTTGAAGTTACAACCTTGAACTTCACGCGCATTTTGATATATGTTTAGGTTATTTCATACACTAAACCACACAGAAAACATTAAAAACCTCTCTTATACTTAGCATTTTAAAAAAACTTTATGATTTAAAATCTCTGTCATGGGGTACTCAAAGAAATTTGCTAACAAGAAACCAGATGTGTATTTGCAGTAACATCTACTAATGTCCATTACCTAAACGAGATCATCCTATGTATGATATGGATCATGATCTCGTAGTATGAAAATACTCATGACCACACAATAGTCAAAATGCAAAAATATGAAGATTTTAGACTATTTATAGAACTGTTATTATAATCTTCAATAGGATTTCATTTGAGAAATTAGTCACGTATTTTTGTTAGGAAGGGGTGTTGGCAGGACAGGAGGGGCAATGAATGAATAACAGAATTTAAGCCTATAATGAAGCTTTTGTATAAAAAGTCAAGATGAAAAAAAAAACCACATAGTTGGTAGCAGCATCCTTTGAAAGGAAAGGACAAGTTATGTTTTTATCATTTAGCAGTTTAGCTGTAATTGGAATTAAGTGGACCTATACATAGCCTGACCACTATGAAAATTTCTGGATGAAAAAAAGAACGTCCCCGAGAATACACAGACCTAATGCCAAGTTTTCTGTGTTTCTTTCATTGTACACAACAGCAAGCATTAACTGCTACCATTCAAAGCCTGGCACAACTCTAGCACAAGGGAAGCTTGTGCTCACAACAGATTCACTATCTGGAACAAACCAAGCCAACCAAACAACAAAAATATACAAACACACATACACAAAAAAGAAAATACACACAGAAGTGTGGCATCCTATTAAAAACTATGCTATATACAGTCTCACTTCACTGTCAGTTTTCTCTACCATATTGGTCAACTTCAATTTTGTTACCTGAAATATCATTCCATCAAGTAACTGGCATTCCAGCTTCAAAAGCAACTTTTCAAATGGCTTCAGTTTATCTTCTTGAATCCCAAACTTGGAAGGGTTGTGATGGACAGATTTTAGCAGCCTGTAAGGAATAGCCATAAAAGGAATTTAAGATGTACTGACAGTTTATCATATCCTATAGCATTCTAATATCACTGTTTCGTGGAATAGGTTTTAATTGCCTGCATCTCTGCCCAGCAGCAATTCCTAAATTATTATTAAAAACAAACAAGTCTGTTTAAGCTACTTACATTTAAACAACTACAATCTATTGAGGTTTCCATTGAAATTGTTCTTTTTCCACTAATTTAACAGCCTACGTAATTGTTGATTCTTTACTTCTTGCTTTAGATAATGTTCTTACTCAAATCTATTCTAAAGCCTTTGATCAATACGGATTTGAATGGTCTTAGGTCAGTTCTGCACAAAATTAGATTTCTTATCAAATGCATTTTAAAACCCTTGAACCATTATTCTTTCTCAAGATACTTGCCACACACAGCTTCTGGAATGGCAAACGTAAAATTCAGCACTAAAAACTTCCCTGTACTGTTAGAAGGACAAAATAGGAGCTTTGCCCTGTTTCTTATTGAGGTTTCTGGATAATGCTCGAGGCTAAAAAATTCCATGTTCTCAAACTAACTTTTTTGGAAGAAGGCACATGCACATGCTTTTATCTTTTATGTCATGAGAGTATTTGTCACACCTTCAGAGACACACCTCTTGTACATTGTCCAGTGATCTTTCAGGGTGGCATGATTGTCAATTATTTCATCCAGAGTGATTAATACTGTCAGTAGTTCTCCCAGATGCTCATACATCGCCTGTTTGAAAAAGAAGAAAATGAAGTCTTTACTGCATGTGGTGCACTGTATATAAAATATCAGTTCTTTTCAATATATGATGAGTAAACAAGGCATCAGCCAGAGAGTTAAATCAGAGATTTCCTGGTTGCTTAAATATTTAATATATCTGTAATGGCAAACAAGGAAAAACAGTTTGCATGCAAGCGTCCTTTCGGGTTCATTGATCTGATATTGAAGATAGGATTTTCAAAATTAGCTAGAAGCAGAAACACATACTACACACAATAACAAAGCATGCAAACACTTTTCAGCTAGGAAAGCCGTAGTCTGACAGGAACAAAGTAGCAGCCCGTTCCACATAAAGGCCAGAAAAACCTGATTAAGTAAATACAATCTGTAAAGGTGACTCCAGACTGAAAGTTGTTCTTGAAATTCACTTTCTTGCTATTTTTCTCAGGGCTAAAACAAATACATTAGCCAAAAAAATAGCATCAGCAAAAAGGCACAAAGTTATTCCCACCTGAAAATGAACTCCTGATGTCTCTATAATTTTAGGTGCATTCCTGTAAATAGAATAAGTATTTTAACATATTTCTAGTCCTTAGAACAGAAAATATTTACCACCTCTGTACCAAAGCATGGTTTTTTGTTTCTTGGGGTATGTTTCTTCACTTACACAGTAAATTCAGAAAATAAAATAAGCCTCCAAATATGATTAAAGCATATGTGAAATGTGTGCTATGATCAAATTTGGTACTGCAGTTTTGAATGCAAGGCACATAACTGGTTTAAACCATTGATTTTATCCAGCGCACACGTACTAGCAACAATCCCCAAGTCAGTTGTGCTAAGTAGTCTTGACACAGTCCTGGGGCTCAAAAGTACAAAGTCACTTCACACATTCAGCTAAGCCATAACTAAGCTACACATCCAGCCTTCCTCACTCAGCCATGACTGTTCTGTCAGAAATATATACTATGACTGGCAACATCAAAACAACCAGCCATCTCATCCGTAGTATCTTTTATCTAAAAATTATAATTAATGTTGAATACTAAAGAATAAACCAGTGATTTCATAGATACCAGTGATTCATTTGTGCAATTTACTTGGGGCTCTCTCAGTCATGCCAAAACGTCGCTGCATGCACAAAGGCATAAAGTCACATGGCAAGTGACAGTAATTTGTTCGTCAGTATCAGTTCAACCACCAAGTTTAAGAAAACCACATATTTAAACATTGGATTGTGAAAGTGATCTGATTTTTAAGCTCTGAAAGCTACTGGTATCTACTATAGCAGTCAAAAGAAAGAGTCTCTCAGAGGCAGACTGCAAGAATAGCAAGAGGATCTCTTGAACAAGATTAAGAGCCTCTAAAGCATCAGTCTATCTAAAAGAAAAAAAAACAACACTTGCATCTCATTTAATAAGAGCTCCAACTTTTCTGAAAATAAACTTGAAAAATGGGTAACGAAGCCCATATTTGTGCAACAAAGCATCCTCCACATCTCTAGATAATAATATTCTCAAAATAATCAAGCCTTAGGCAGAACATTTATATCATGTACATTTTTAAACTACATAATAAGTGATACAGCATCTCAGGGAATAATTACTTATTGCTGGTGTAGAGAACAGCCAACTGATGCACTACATTCACCACCACTTCGTAACATCGGGTAACAAAGCAAGACAGCTCCTGAAATACAAGAAAATAAAAAGCACATATATATATAGCCTCCTCTTATGCATAACATCATTACTTCCAAAATACAGAACATAAGTCACTAAACTCGCAGCCTAAGTTGCAACTACAACCCTAATGCAAGTCAGTGGACAGATCTATGACAGGATGGGAAACATTATCCTAGTAATTAAGAGGTCTGAAAAAGGATTTGGGTTTAAGTCAAGAGGTTACTGTACAAAGTTCCCAGTACATCTTGAAATATTAAAGTACCAATGTGCACTTTTAGACAGAGAAAAGATTATTAAAGAAAACACCTGCACCTAGCTTGTTTTCACAAGGTAGAGACTGATACTGAAATATTCGATGTTCAAGGGCCACATTTAAAAAGCTTACTGGGTCTTTGAGAAGGCATGGAAAAGAGACACCCCTCAGGAGCTCAAAGTGCTTTAAATATCTCTTGCTGTTAATTTTTCAAGAATTCAATTTATTAGAGACACTCAGAAGAGACTTAAAGTGTCCAGGTACCTTTGGAGGGAATATTCAAATATCCCTAAAAGCAAAGGCTGTGCCTTTTCCCACTAGATTCAAGAGTCACGCTTTGGAAGCTCGTGATAGACAAATTCAAATTAGAAACTATCAAAGAGAAGGGGCCCATGTGTACTATAATAGCAATCAGCCAAAGAATGCTGTCTTCAAAGAAAAAAATAAAAATAAAAGAACACTGCCTTTGAGAAGCATGCTCAAGCAAAGCAAAATTTGAGCTCAGTTATATAGTAAAAGATGACTAAAAAGAGCTCAACTCTGACCATAAAAAATTCTGAATTTCTATAATGGATTTTAACAAGGTACTCCTTGAGAAATGGGGTAAATTAATCTGAGTTTCCCTTAACCACAAATAGTATTTGCTTATTAATTTATCCTATAATCCAATCAGGGACAAGCATGCATTGGATGAGTCTGGCCAGTCAGCACACAGATGGCTCCCAAGCAAAACAGCCCACGCAGGCTAGCAGCCAGCCTGCTGTTCTTGCCAGAAGACAGGCTAACAGCTGAATTCTGTCTTTCTCTCCATCAAAAATAGATCTTATTTGGGTTTCTCCCTTCTATTAGTCACCAGTTTCCATAAAACATGGAAGTGTCTTTACTTCTTATGCTTGTATTGCTCTATCAAATGCAGCTGAAACAAGCCAGCAGATCCCAGAAGAGCACATTAATAGACAACTGAGATCATGTTTCCTTGGGAAGGTGCACCAGCTGCCTCTTTAAAATTTCCAGGCAATGGTCCAATTTAACAGCATTTTATCAGCTACCTAATACAGACAATTGTCAGTTTGTCAGGGTTCTTCAAAGAACAACACTACCTAGTAGTGTTTCATAGCACTGATTTGATAATTTATTTAAATGTTTTTACATAGCAAATTAAGTTGTAAAGAAAGGAAAAAGTTTGTAACATTGACCTTAACAGCATTTTCTGGTCAATGGGCATATGTCAGTTACTGCTGAGTGGGTTCAGAACAAAACAGCAGTTGAAAAAGACTGGAAAAGAAAAAGAGTTTTCCTTGTAGCTTTATCCAAACCAACATAGTCAGTATGTTGTAACCTTCCCTTTAGGCCAATGTCCTGTGTCTGCCTGCTTTCTCATGTTCAGTATTCAACAAACTATGGTAGGACATAGACAAAGTGGGATCACAGGTAAGACTGCTGTATTGATGTAACATTTCCACTATAAACAAAATATGGGACATAACCCATAAGCATAAAGCATTATAGATGAAAAACTTAACATGAGCCAGCAGTGTACCCTTGCAGCTCAGAAGGCAAATGGTATCCTGGGCTCCATCAAAAGAGGGGTGGCCAGCAGGGACAGAGAGGTGATTGTCCCCCTCTACTCTGCTCTTGTGAGGCCCCATCTGGAATACTGCATCCAGGTCTGGAGCCCCCAGTACAGAAAAGACAGGGAGCTGTTGGAGAGGGTGCAGAGGAGAGCCACCAGGATGATCAGGGGACTGCAGCATCTCCCCTACAAAGACAGGCTGATGGAGCTGGGCTTGTTCAGCCTGGAGAAAAGAAGGCTGCAGGGTGACCTCACTGCAGCATTTCAATACCTGAAGGGAACCTACAAACAGGAGAGGAATCAACTCTTTGAAAGGGTAAATAACCGCAGGATGAGAGGAAATGGTTTTAAGTTGAGGGAAGGGAGATTTAAGTTGGATGTCAGGGGGCAATTCTTTACAGAGAGAGTGGTGAGGTGCTGGAACAGGTTGCCCAGGGAGGTTGTGGATGCCCTGTCCCTGGAGGTGTTCAAGGCCAGGTTGGATGGGGCCCTGGGCAGCCTGGTCTAGTATTAAATGGGGAGGTTGGTGGCCCTGCATTGGTTGGTGGCAGGGGGGGTTGGAGATTCATGATCCTTGAGGTCTCTTCCAACCCTGGCCATTCTGTGATTCTGTGATCCTGTACTACAAGAAGGTTTGTATTTCACTTATGCTGAAGATATCTAGGCTGCCAAGTACTTTGCCCTCAACTTTCATCTCAGAAAATCCTAACAGGGAGAAAAAAAAGTTTAGAAAAAAAAACACAATGTACAGCAGTCCCACCTCAGAACCACCAGATCTCAGATCTCACAAATATCACCTCAGTAAGAAACAGTTTGAAAGAAGAAACTGACCATGTTAGTAAGGCAAAAAGGATGAAAAAGATAGGGAAAGACAAAAGCAACAAAGGACATCCTAACAACTAACTGCACTTGAGCACAGGAAGAGAGGTTGAGAAGCAACTTCCTATGGCGCTCAACCTATTAATGACTCAGTAAATAAGCACTGCCATGATAGAGCAAGAAAAGAAAATTTAACAAATCATTTAAGCATTCTAAGAGTTTCCTCTATCTTCTCCACTTTAACATATTCTTCATTACAAGAAATACTGAATAAAAATACATTTATGGAATAAAGGTCACTTAAGCTATAATAAAGAAAAAGAAATTCCAAAGTAGACTGAAATCTAAGATCACAGGAAATCACCAGAAGAAACACAGACCTTGTTTTCATGCAAAGTATACTCATAGCAACCAAACTGCATCCAAAATGAATGTTCTTCACTGAAAGCTTAAGCGTGGCACAAACAATTTTTCTTTCCCAGGTACACACTTTAATTTCACCTCCCAACAGCTACATAACAGTGTATGAACCATTAATTCATGTCCAGTTTTCAATGAAAAATTGCTAATCAAAACTGTAAGAATAGAAATCCTTGGCCTTACTATCAAATGGAACCACCCCAATTTATACTCTTACTGAAATTTACTTAAGAAACTCTAATTTCCTTGGACAAAGATTACACAAATCATAACCTAACCTCTCACAAGTCTTCCGGTTTTAGACTAGTGTAAACAAAAAAAGCCAAATACGAGTAGATGACAAACCAAGTTAAACAGCAGTGTTCTAAGTGAACTTTGGTAGCAACAGATGAGCAGGTAAAACATAACGACAGTATCAAGTGACTGCAGTGCCCTTCAGCAAGGTGCAGGCAGGATACTGAAGACTTCTCAATCCACTTTGCAAATAAAATTAATATTATAATTGCTGTCAAAAAATCAAGATACTCTACCTGCAAGAAGGAAACAAATCTTCCCATCTGTATTTGACAATCTCCTTCCACCATGCTGGAATCTGTGGCTTCAAAGACAAAGAACTGTCACTACTTTAAAAAGGCTGCATTAGAGCTATTCATTACACCCTAGAGCTCACCTTCCAAATCAGGTATGTTTGTCATACAGATTCAGTGCACACCTACAAGCCTACTGGTAGAACTTTAAAAGCTTTTCATTTTGCTTCCTAAGGTAGAATTATTTTTAAGTTCCTTTCCCAATAGAATTAGATTGCTTTTAAGTTATGCATAAAGCAGGAAAAAAGTTTCCATCACCTGTAAGAAAATAATTATGAAACCTAATTCTTTAAAGGATATATCTTACATAACTGTATATCAAAGTTTCCATTAAAAGAAGTTTGTAAATCAAGGTATTTACATTGCAAAGAATGCATGCTGGTATGCTTATTAGCTGAAAGAATATATTACATCATAAATCAACAGAAAACCTGAGTAGCATACAACTTCATCAATAAATTGATTTTTTTTCCTATATACTATCCACCACTAAGCAACTGGCTCTCACCTTATGTTCAAAGCACTACATGTGTGACAAAGTACACTATTCAGATACTATGAGATGCAGCAATCATGTCACCACGTCAAATTCTTTTGGACAGCTGGAATAGTTGTAGTGCTACGTGGCAGGCTTTTTAAGGTGATGATAGTTTAATATTCTAAATCTGAGATTTTTCTATTGGGCCACTATGGAAAAAATAGCTTAAAATTACAAGTTCATCCACAAAAACAAACAACAAAAAAAACCAAACCCAATAGCGTTAAAGAAAAGCAGTCTCCTGTTTAGAGAGGTGATCTTTCAACCTGTACAAGGAAATTTCTAAATAATATTTAGTTTAAAGTTTCTGGTCTTCATAAAAATATTCCTTTAGAACAGCGACCAAACTCGAAATGAGCCTCCGTAACTCCATTTAGATACTGCATCCTTCCCCTTTATGCTTCCTATGCAACCTTTCTGCTCTTGAAATTAGCAGATTATCCAAAAGGCAACCCAACTAGCTGAAGTTCCTACAGTAATCCTAGTCACTTAGAGAATAAAATGAAAAAAATGTTTCCTGCTATATTGAGAAGGCAAAAGCCACACAGTATTTCTCTGTTCCATTCAATTTCAGCCATCCTTGAGGCAGCAGCTTTACTAGTCGTTCTAAGTAAGCAAGGCAGTTGTTACCCAAGCATATGCTACAAGGTGGGATCTGGGAATAGAGAACTTTATTCCTGTACTCCCACCCAACCCACAGAAGTTCGACCTCTCAGTTTCTCCCATTCTCAAGCATTCCTTGTAGAACACTCAAGTAGGAACAAACTGCTGCTGTACTATACTAATCTAGCACAGTATGACTTTTCTCATGCTGGAGATGTGAAGAAGTTTTGAGGGACCCCCTACTACCATTTTGACAGCAGAGCACTTTCTTTTCAGATATTAGAAGGCATGGTGTTCTTTTTGACATTCCTTAACTGAACCACAACAGGCATCTTATGCAGCACTTACAACAATCTCTATCAGTTGCTGTTTCCAAGATTCCACATTCCCCAGTACTGCTGTCACAATCAAGGCTCAAAAAGGCTTCAAAAAGAGCTGTTTTACAGTGCTACTCTGCATGGAGCATGCCTTCCTTTGTCTCACATTTATGAAACAGAAAACAAAGTCAGGCAACATCCCTATCTCAGAAATGCACTTAGTCCTCAGAACAAAGATGTGTGCTTTCTCTCTACTTTAACACAGAAGCTTAAGACCTTTGGATGAGTTACCAGTTAAATTCTATGACTAAATGCAAAGTTTGGCAACTGAAACATCTTTCAAACACTTCTGTCTGCGGATTAGGTCATCACTTAAGTAACAGTATGAGCAATTCACTTCACTTGAAGCACAGAAGATGACCTTAGCAAGATCAGGATTTCTCCTGAAGCAACTATGATCCCAAGAGTAGATTTGGTCAAAGATATTAAGTTTCATTGTTTTTCTACAGACAGGTTGCAGATTTATGGTTTTACTACAACCAACTACAACTCCTACAAAAAACAGTCCTAACAGGAAGCAGGTTAGTTGAGAATAATGTGTTTCCATGTAAAACACAGGTATTCAATGCTTTACTTAGAAAAAACAGCTGCTACAGTGTATAAACTCAGGTTTCTGTACTCGTAAACACTAAATATAATCTCATGAAAAAAGAAGCCAAGATGTTTACTGAAAAAAGTCACGAATTCAAAAGCACTGCTTTTATACATCTCATGCATTCTCCCACTATCTTCACTTAAAGGTCATCTGTCTGAAAAATGTCAAGTCCATACTCCGTACTTCTCATGTACGTCATGCTGCAACAAAACTTCCCATTGACATGACAACACTTACTGCAGATAATCAGGCTTCATTTATAAAGTCTTAATGCCAGCTCTATTATCACAAAGTCCATTATTTTGCATTTATCATTTAATGATACAGTGAAAGCATGCATCTGGAATATAAAAACAGACTTCCTGCAGCATTTAATACAATTGGAAGCAATAAAGTAAAACTACAAACTTCACCAGTAAAGGGAGCTACTTACCTCCTTCTCCATAAAACAAGAGGCCATTATAAAATTTCGTTTCTGCCTATCAACAGAAACATAAATTTGTCTTTTAATAAATAAGCCATCATGCTACAAAAATTATTTCGACAGTATATCATTGTATCTTGTTTATTGCAAAATAAGAAATCTTTATCAGTTTGCCAATCTTTCATACACATAATTAAAGCTGAACTTACCTCATATTTTAACTTCTTGATTTCACAACAAAGGGCAGCATACACAGTTATTACTTTGTTTAGAACCTAGACTCAGGAAAAAAAAAGCAGATTACCACCACAGAACTACAGCAAATAAAAATCTTACAGAGCATTTTTCATGTTTAAAATGGATCAAACGGATCAGTTTTATATCAAACAACTTTTTTTTTCCATCCCTTCTTCTTTTAATTTTAAAACAATTACCTTGTTTTCCGTCTTTATGAGCTCCAGTAGAGAGGACTGCTCATATGGCAAAAGCTAGAATTGATTAAAACGAAAGCTTTAGAAAATACTTGTCAAAACTACATTTAAGCAACTAAGCAAGTAGTGTAACTTTTTTACAGTTTAATCTCAAGTAAGGTCAGTTAAAAGAGCCAATAATGGCACATTACCAACAACCTGCGCTGCAGAAAACCTTCTCTTTGCACATTCATGCATTAAGGGAAAGAACTAGCTACATTATATAGGATTTACATCAATTTACTCATAAAACTTGAAATGCAAAAACAGTCATTACGGTGCACACAAAAAAAACAACTCTGGAAATCTAAGAGAAATTAAGAATTCCAAATGCAGGAAACAGGAAGCATTGTGTGTATCTACATGCAGGCACTTGAGATTTTGTATTGAAGTCAGTTTCATAGCTGACAAGTTCAAATATGCTCAGCACTATAGAGGCCCCACATGTAATCTGAATAGATGGAGGACTGACTGAGAACACATCTTCTGCACATACAAGTTCCATATGGTAACAATATTGAAAAGTACTTCTCACTTTTATGTCCAAGTTCAGTGATGAAAAAAACTCATGCTCTACAGAGGACAGAAAACTTATGACCAAGGAATAAAACACTTCTGGAAGAAGAAAAATTAAAACTGTATTGGATAGGCTTCTCAAACACAAAAGTCAACATTTTAGAAGCACAAAAGCAAGAAGCTTTCACTTATCAGGTTTGAAAGGAAGAAGGAATAAGGAAAATAAGTTTAAACGTGTATTAAACATAAGCAAACCTTTAAAGCAATAGGGTCAAGACTGAAGTCCCAAACATCTCCAATAGAGTCATCCAGAGCATCTTCAATTCTCTTCAGCTGAGACGCGTACTCCTCAAGAAACTTTCCATAATTCTTCAACTGCACTTCAGCATGGATTTCTGAGAATTCATAACAACGATAGTTACCTAAAATTCTCAGTAAACTCCAATATCCCAAAGTTCATTAATGTTTTAATCTGTTGCTATTTAGCTAGTAGTACTGCATTCCAAGTTTTGATGCAGCATTTTCTTCTTGAAACAACAGTATCTTTGCAATACAAAGCTCTTATTTGTTGAAAACCGATCATCCAACTCAGTGTCCATTTCAAATAAAGCCCAAATATGAAAGAATAACAAACATTTAAGAGGCTTATTAAAAATATTTTTGAAGTGTACATTTATTTTCAAACTAAGATCTGAACAAACCTAACAATCACACCAAGTTGCAGAGCAAAGAACTGACTGATCACATTGCAGCATGGCAGATGATTTTACCCATCAGCAGAGCCAGGCCACAGATAATGATACTAGACATTTGAGGCACTGGGTCTTATCATTTTGGTCTGAGTAGAACTTGTATGGGAAGCAATCTGTCTTCTGCTCCCCCCCTATTATCACTTAGTAAGTCATTTGGGTATTAAACTGAAAGGTGATGGTTTTCAATCAATCCCACCACATTGGAACTCACTACTTTCCAGCAGAATTTTTCTTCTGCTTAGCACCTGAACATGGAAATGCACAGCTGTTCTGTCACTGTTAGTTCCAAGTAGGTTCTTATGCTCAAAAGAAAATACTCAGTTGATCAAATACTAAGATCAGCGGTAAGAATCAGTATAGCAAGTCTAAAGATAACTGATCCAGAGAAGTTTCATTCACTCTATCCTGATAGTTCTTTTTCCTACACTAACACACATACACAAAAAAGAAATACACAGTCACTGACTTAGCTGCACAATCTGAACCATGGAAAGAGTGATCACAGCTCAGGACTTCCATGTTTCATAAGGAACCTCAATCCTTTCTCATCTGATGACTGAAGTGCCCCCCCTTGACTTGACTGCACATCTAATAGCTTACAATCTTTTGCTTTTTGTTGCAAATAGCACTGCCTTTAAAATAAATAAACCGAAGAACCTAAGTTAATTGGATAACTGAATTTTGTCAAAACATGAAGACAACTCTGCAGACAGCAATCTTTTTAGCTTATGTAGCAGTATACATGCCCTTTTTGTGTTTTAGAAGTAGGTTGTGACAAAAGCTAAAAAATCTTTTTGTTTTGCAGGTTTAACCTCTCATCTAAGCTGTCTACAACTGAGACAAATGGCAGTTGATGACTTCTTCAGTAAACCAGTTTTGTTGAATCAATTATTCTACAGATGTATTTTGGAGAAAGAGAAAATGTGCCTGAAGAAGTGCCCCAGTCAAGCAAGGGGAGGAACGAACAAAGGCAAATGAAGAGTCAAAGAAGAGAGGGACTACACGCTGGGGAGTTGAGACTGAGGAGAAATGGAACAAGTTCTCCTCAACTGATGCAAAGCTCCTACTTTGAAACCAGCAGCAAAGCCTGTCCAAGATGCACTGTGAGCTATACGATGCTAAGCTCCACATTAGTGCTGTTGGGTTCTGCCTGTCTTGATGGTTCACAGACACCACCAAATGAAGAAGACTGAATTTCATGCAAACAGATAAGCAGCAAGTGAATAAAACACTCTTTATCAGCAGTATGCCCTTCAGACACCAGTTTGCAGCCCTTGTGTTGTATCATCATATTTTTCTATTCCACCGATTGACCTCGCCTTCCAAATCCCTTCCAGCACATCTTCTAGAAGCCTGATGCACTAAAGCACTAGAACTCCAATAGATGCAGAGCCCTGCAGAACAGAGCTTAACCTGCCATCCCAGCAGCTGCAGTACTTTACTGTTAGAAGATGCTGTAGAGCATGGAAACTTAAATTCTTGAAGCATGCTGTGGTATTCCCTCCTGTTCCTTCTCTCTTCACACAAAATGCAAAGCTAAGAGCAGAAAAAATATTGAAAGAGGTATAGGGACTGTATAGGAAGAACTGAAAAAAAAAAAAAAAACAAGTCATACAAGAGTAAGAAACGGGTACTGCTGCTCAAATCAATTCCCTCGACTTAAATAGGCAGCATATCTCAAAAAATCTCACAGCAGCAGCACTCTCCTAAAGACCCACAAAACGTCATCTTTCCAGCAGCCAAAAGATGCACTTAAGCCATACTGTAGCTCAGCAGAGCTGATATCAGGTATTGACAAAACTAAGTGTTGCCAGACATCGATGTGCCACCTCATACTGATTCTATACAAAAAATAAAAGGCAGGTGTGAATAATTTATCATCTTCTCTCTAAAGCAGACATGAGAGTGAAAGCTATTAGTGAACCAGATACAGGTAGGCTTGAATTGATTAAAATGGCTTCAAGCTGCAGGGAGATTTCTAGCATGCATAACTTTTTTTTTCCTAAACAAACTGGATTACGTGCAAAAGGAAAAGAAATCACATATTTTCTTTTTCTTCCAAACCACAGACCTACTACACAAGGCATATCTGTTTGCAATGAAGTTTGATTTAGTTTCTCCTCAGGTGATAAAATGAAAGCTTTACAACTGGAACAGCATGAAGATATATGTAGTAGCACAAAACCTCCAACTTCGTCTAATCTTCTTCCATAAAGTCAGCAGTGTCAATACTTAGGCAATCCATTGCCACAGCAGGATTTGCAAGTGCAATGTCAATAAATACCTGGGGCAAAAATGTAAACTGGACTTCTACAGCATCTTATTTCCTCAGTTAGGAACATGGTGATTTCTAAAAGTTTGCGATACAAGTATAGAGTGAAAACTGACAAAGCAAAGCAACGCATTTTTTCCAAGTGACTTCTTTTTTTCCTGCTTTTCCTTCAAAGTTGTACACTGTACTGTGAACTTTACCACTGTTCACAGTCAAGATGGTGGTAATAGAGCACATCACGTCGTAGAATCGTCAGAAGGGACCTTTAAAGGCCATCTGATCCAACTCCCCTGCAATGAACAGGGTCACCTACAGCTAGAACAGGGTGCTCAGAGCCCCTCAAGCCTCATCTTGAGTGAATCCAGGGATGGGGCATCCACCACGTCTCTGGGCAACCTGTGCCAGTGCTTCACTACCCTTACTGTAAAGAACTTCTGCCATATAACCAGTTTCTAGTTTGAAAACATTTCCCCTTGTCCTGTCACAACAGACCCTGGTAAATAGTCTGTCACCTTCCTTTTTACAGCCTCCCTTTTGATGCTGAGAGGATGTTGGGTGATGTAACACAGCTGCACGTAATGCCATGATCAAGTCCCACAGGGATCTGATATTCTGAGCAAAAACCGTACTTTGCATTCCATGGCTTTACAGCTGCCAAAGACCTCAGCTCAGGAAAGTTTCAGTTTCTACCAAAAAGACAGAATAATGAATAAGTTATTATTAATGGCACCATCCTAAGGTAATGCTGTATGTGAAACAGCTGGTCCATGAGTAACACATTTTCACAGCAACACCTGGTGTCATTAATTTCACAGAATCACAGAATGGCCCAGGTTGGAAGGGACCTCAAGGATCATGAATCTCCAACCCCCCCTGCCACATGCAGAGCCACCAACTTCCACATTTAATACTAGACCAGGCTGCCCAGGGCCCCATCCAACCTGGCCTTGAACACCTCCAGGGACAGGGCATTCACAACCTCTCTGGGCGGCCTGTTCCAGCACCTCACCACTCTCTCTGTAAAGAATTTCCCCCTGACATCCAACCTAAATCTCCCCTCCCTCAACTTAAAACCATTTCCCCTCATCCTACAGTTATCTACCCTTTCAAAGAGTTGATTTTTCTTCCCTCTGTAGGCTCCCTTTAGGTACTGAAATGCTGCACTGAGGTCACCCCGCAGCCTTCTGTTCTCCAAGCTGAACAAGCTCAGCTCCCTCAGCCTGTCTTCGTAGGGGAGGTGCTCCAGTCCCCTAATCATCTTTGTGGCTCTCCTCTGGACCCTCTCCAACAGCTCCCTGTCTTTCTTGTACTGGGGGCTCCAGACCTGGACACAGTATTCCAGATGGAGCCTCACAAGAGCAAAGTAGAGGGGGACAATCACCTCTCTGTCCCTGCTGGCCACCCCTCTTCTGATGGAGCCCAGGATACCATTTGCCTTCTGAGCCGCAAAGGCAAGCTGCTGGCTCACATTAAGTTTTTCATCCATCAAGACCCCCAGGTCCTTCTCCACAGGGCTGCTCTCAAGGACCACTCCTTCCAGAGCATATGGATGCCTGGGATTCCTCCGGCCCAAGTGCAAAGCCTTGCACTTTGCCATGCTGAATCTCATTAGGTTCACCCGGGCCCATCTTTCAAGCCTGTTGAGGTCCCTCTGAATGGCATCCCTTCCTTCCACAATCTGGCAGAGTTCAACACGCAGCATGTACCTCAGTGTGACTGCCATACACCTCTATTTAGGAAGTAGGTCAGCTAGCTCCACAGGCAGAGAACACATGGATTTCAATGGGGCACCCACTGACAGAGCTCAGCACCACGAGGTCTCACGTATCTATATCCTAAAGGCGAAAGAGAACAGCCAGCTCCATGCCAAGCAGCCTTTCTCGGCAGAAAGCTCATACAACGCACTCATCACAGCAGGCTGCCTCAGCCCGCCCGGGGGATGCTGCACACACGCGTGGGCCCCCAGGGGCGACCGGGAGAAGCCGAAGACAGCGGCCGTCGCCGCGCCGGGAGCACGAGCAAAGCTCGCAGCAGCCTCCCCCCAACCCAAACACCCCCCGACAGCCGCCGAGGCGCGCACGGAGCAGGGCCCGCTCTGAGCGCGGCGAGCAGAGGGCAGGAACCGGGAGGGGGGCCAGCCCCGCTCGGCTCCCACTGCTGCTTCCTCCTCTTCCTCACCGCCCGCCTCTCGCGATAGGGGCTGCCGGGGGTCTCCTCAGCCCGCGGCCCCATTCCGTCCTCACACACACGCACGCGCGCCCGCCCTGCCCCAGCCCGGCCCTTCCACGTCCCGCGCGCTCACTCTGCGAGCCGTCGTCGAGGCGGTCGAACTCCCACTCCGGGGACAGGGTCTCCAGCGCCATGGCAGCGCCGCGCCCGCCTCCCCTGACTCAGGCGCACGGGACTTCCTACCCCGCGCCGCGACGCACTCTGGGAAATGGAGGCGGAGAGGCGGGGGGGAAGCCGGGACTCCGGGAGGAGGCGGGGTGGTGGAGGGGTGGGCAGCCGGCGTCAGCCTCAGTGCCGTTCAGGACGCCGGTAATGTCAGTTAGAGGATAAAAGAAGTAAAAGCGCTAAGCGTGACGGAGGAATTGCCGCTTGGGCCGCTTGCGGTGCCCGCAGCGATGACTTTACCTCAGCACAGTCTGTGCTATTAGCAGAAACGGAAATGGCTCTGAAGAGCGATGTGGGAGCATCAGCAGTTTCATGGGGCTGAGAGCAACAGAAATAGCAGCTCCACAGAGAGATGGATCAGTAATTGCAGATCGTCCATTAAAGCTGGCTCTGTAATGCAGCCAGTCTGAAAATAGCACTGCTGCGCTTGTTTTCTGGAGACAAGCAATCCGTCCTTTGCCAAATCGATTAATTTTAGAGGGAACTAGGATCTGGCTGGTGTGCTTGCTCTGGTCGATGAGTTTTTAACTCATTACAGCACATTTCAAGAGACCAGCTGTTGGAAATACCCAAATAATTTATCAGGACGGTATCTCTGATAAAGCAGATTCTATTCGCAATTGCAATGGCGGGCCTCCTGCAAGCAGGAGAGCACGCAGAAAACAGCGTTACGTCTTTTACGCCCTCTTACTCGACGCTTCTCTCTTTCTCCCCTGGTTCCTCAGTGGCTGAGTACTTCAGGTTCACAATCTTGCTGACGCTCAACTAAACACACAGATACTGGCTAAACATAAATTTCTGCTGGCTAAGCATATATCGCAAATTAGTTCTAAACTTCTCACATTTGCTCATTCAACACTCGGTCATTGTTTCTGGACATCTGCTTGTCCTTGCATAGAGATAAGCTTAGAAGGAGGACAGGGGGGAGTATCTTGATGCCTGCCTGTTGCATCCCAACCGACTCGCAGAGCAAGGCAATCCAGCCTTGTGTGGAGGCCCTGGCTTCTCTGATGTTTGTTAAGTCTGTTTTTCTTTTGCTGAGGGTCTCTTATCCAAGCAGAATAGCCCTACAATATGCTTTCTAGTCCATAATACTATACCTATACTATTTGGAACATTTAGAAACTATTGCAGTTTTGCAAACAAGAATTAATCATACAATTCAGCAACTATATTTCTAAAGTATGTTACTAACGTATATGGTATTTATACTTTTTCATGTCAGCTATTTCTAAGGACAAGTTACAAAATACAAATACATTGTGCTCTACTTTTCCAGATAATTCCCCCTTTTTAATATCTATTGCAGAAACAACATTCCATTCCTACACATCCTAGATCTGGGAAAGAAAAGATCAAAACCAATTTTTTGAGAAATCATATGAAAAATGTTCAGAGTATCTTCTTTTTTAACTACTTTTTTTTTTTTTTTTTTTTTTTCCAGTTCTGATTAACATTGCAAATGACACCAAGCTGGGGGGAAGCATTGATCTGCCTGAGAGTAGGAAGGCCCTACCCAGGGATCGGGGCAGGCTGGATCAATGGGCTGAGACCAATTGTATGGGCTTCAATAGGACCAAGTGCTGGATCCTGCACTTCAGTCACAACAGCCCCATGCATCACTATAGGCTTGGGGCAGATTGTCTGGAAAAGCTGAGTAAAGGAAAAGGATCTGGGGGTGTGAGGAGTCTGAATACAAGTGTTAATGGGGAGCAGCTGAGGGAATTGAGGTTTTTCAGTCTTGAGAACAAGAGGCTCAGGGGAAACCTTATCTTTCTCTACAGTGACCTGAAAGGAAATCGTGGTGAGGAGGGGTTTGGCCTCATCTCCCAGGTAACACCAGGAGGACTAGAGGGAATGGCCTACAGTTTCACCAGGGAAGACTCAGGTTGAGTATTATGAAAATTTTCTTCTTAGAAAGAGTGGTGCTGCAGTGGCACGGGCTGCCAAGGGAGGTGGTGGAGTCACCATCCCTGGAGGTGTTCCAGAACTGTGTGGATGTGGCACTGAGGGACACAGCTAATGAGCATGGTGGGGATGGGTTGGCAGTAAGACTAGATGATCTTAGAGGCTTTTAACCTTTGTGATTCTATGTCTATGAACAGAGCCCAAGGACATCTGCTCTACTCACAGTCTTCTGTGTGAGCTTGAGCTGCTGAAATGGGGCTTTTAATTCCCTGGTAATGTAATCGTGCAGGATGTTGGCAGCTGGCAGTGCATGCATACACCTCTGGGGATGTAAGTGTGACAGGAAATGAAATCACAATTTATACTTGACTTCAAAGATCACATTCTGTCTACAGTCATATAGATGCAGCTTTTACTGAATTCAGTAGAGTAGCCATACATACATTCAAAGGCAAGGTATGTCCTTTAGTTTTGAAAGCAGAACAGTAGAAAAATTTTGCTACAATCATCTAGTTTTTGTGAAAATAAAATACTGTCTCTTTCTGCACGTAAATGGTTTGTCAGATTACTTTAAAGATTTTTGGTTGGTTGGTTGGTTTTGTTTTTTGTTTGTTTGTTTGTTTTGTTTTGTTTTCTATCTCAGAAAAGAGTATCCTTGTACCATCTTCAGGGTATAGCTACTGACTGAAGCAGCAGTCAGTAGAGCCCTCCCCTCCCACAGCTGAAGTGAATACATAACGAGTAAAATACTGCCAGGCTGGTTATTGCAAGGCTGTGAGATCACCAACAACTAAGCAGCTGGTTTGTTTCTGCAGTGGCAACGCTGCACCAGGATAACCATACCATAAGCCGTTGCAAGACTTATTTTGATCATGAGAATGAAACCTGTAGAACTAATGCATTTCTTAGAAAGGAGCAGGAGGCTTAATAACCCGAAAAAAATCACGGAATCAAACAAGTACATCAGTTAAATTTTATGATGGAGTTCATGATGCAATTACTTAAAAGACTAATTGTTTTTCTTGTGCCTCGCTAGGTGGCAGTGTTTGTTGCCTACACTGAGATCAAGCCCAGCTGCTGCTATAATTTCTATTTCTTCTTACTTGGATTTTATCCTGAAGCCTGTTGTTTTAAGTGAATCAAGCATAGCTCAGCTCCGATTGATAAATTTACTGTTCTCAGTTCTCATTGAATGGCTTTATGCTGTTTGCAGAAGTGGAAGCGTTGACAGATTTTATAAGTTGCTTTTCTCAAAGTCAGGTAACGCTTAGGGTTTTCATGTGTGCTAGGAAGTTTTTATTTATTACTGGTTTATAAGAAGTTACTAAGATTGCTCAAGTATCTGTCAATATCTTTAGAAATCACAGCAGTCAGAAAATCTTTAGACTTTGTTTAGCACAGACGTTCTTGGAAATCTGAATATTATTTCAAGAGGTTGAGAATTGATTCATTTCTTTTGAACAGACCAAAGTGATCAAGAAAGTAAAATTTCTTATTGGACTTTCCTATGCATTGAGTCTTATGTAAATCTGTACTAGTTGAAATCACTATAAAGGACTGGAGGGAGATTAAAGACCAAAATACAGGAGAATTAACTTGGTACTATGACTGTTTTATTTATGCAGTGGCTAGTTGTCTATAAACTGGTAAAACAACACGGGCTTGACTGTGTGAGGTATTGAACTCTTTTTTCCTTTGAAACACATAATCACAGAGTCATCCAAGCTGGAAGGGACCCATGGGGATCATCAAGTCCAACTCCTGGCTCTACCAATACAGTTATGTGGCATTTTTCACAAAATTTTTATCACGTTTGGTAACTTAGTGGAAACCTTAACAATGCAAGTAGGAGCTATTTTTTTTTTTTTTTTAATGGTGAAACGCATTCAGAGAAAACATTTCTTCTACTGTATGCAGGCACAGTTTCAGCAGGATTAGTAGAATTGTAGTTACTTATAGGAGAAGGAATGTGGCTTGCTGGATCTGCAGGAATCCAGCTATACATTCCTTATCTGTGGAACATTTAATGCTAAATTCTATGAATATTTTAAGTAAAATGAAGTTCTTGCTCAGCTTTTGTGGCCAGATTCCCAGAAAATATTTACTATCTGAGACTTGCTCTTTACAACTGTGATCCACAAAGATAATGCTTTTCAAAAATAGTTTCTAGCTTATTGTATGGAATTTGAGAAAGAGAGAGAGAGATATGTATATATAATTTCTGATTATATATATGAGTAAGGCATCTGAATATAACAATTCTTTCTACTGCTTAAATCAGTAAAATAATTCCCTTTCTTCACCAAATATATACTCGCTCTGTTTTGTTACTCTGGAAACATGAAATGCTAAGCATATGGTTTTAAGGAGTTATCTAGATGACAGAAAATCTGTATCAGTAAACTGTGAAAGCCTCACTGGAAACCACGTGAGTTTCTAGCCTGAGATCAATTTAAGGCTGAAATGGGAAAAAAAAATAAATAAATCAAGTTTTGTATATAAATGTTGCAGAGAGAAAAGAAGAAATAGAAGCTTCCTGTGGTGGTGAGTGGCAAAACAAGAAAAGTTGCTGCTGTACAAAATTTGAGTTGAAACTTGTCATGCTATTAACATAGTTAGGGAATAACCAGTACAAAGCCTCAATTTATTTTTTTAATCACTTAGTGTTTCAAACTGGATGAGCTGTAAAGTACTCTTGAGGAATGTGAGTCTGAACTATGACCAAATGTTTTTTCATTATGAAAAGCCCCGTCAAGGCTGATTTTCAACTACAAAAAGCCTGTTCAAAGCTAGTTTAGCCAATTACTGAACCCCAGGGTATGATTTTCAAAAGAAAATAAATTCTGGAAGATTGAGCAGCTTCCCAAGCAGTTCAGTACGTGTGTGTACTCAGTGTACTGTGGAACACAGCCTTCTGCAATGGTCTTGCCAATTCTTGATTATATCTTTAAAGACACTCTCAAAACAAGTAACTTCTGCATTACAGAAATCATATTATGCTCATCTGGAATCGGTTTAACAGCTGCTCTGTGCATTTCTGCACATGCAACCACATTTTACTTTGTAAATGTGCTGTTGAACAAACGAGTTTAACTTAGGAATAATATTTGTGTGTCGCATTTTTATATATATCACTCTTTTTGTTTGTGCCCCTTGCTGACATATTTCACTAGAAAAGTAGGAAATGGAAATCAATTGGGTTAGGAGGAAGACCATGTTGGAAATCTTACTAAGGATAATAGCAATTTTTTTCAAAGTTAAATTTTGGCTTTAAGAACCAGGAAACAGAACTGGAAGAAATCAAGAGAAGAAAACTCAATGTTTAAAATGTGCTCCATATCATTTGCAAAAATCTACACTGATATAATCAGAGCTAGGATTCTTCTCTGGATTAACAAGAAATTTTGATAATTTGCAAGCTACTATTACTCATTCTGAGACAGGTCAGTGTAGTCATTTTCCAGGTGACAAAAAAAAATCCTTGTGATTTGGCTATGAATGTTTATACTCATCCCTGAAATTCTACATGCTCAGTTTACTAAGCAGGTTTTATAAGCCCTGGTGTTTGAATTAATCAACTCTGATCACAATAAAGAAGCAGATGGTATGCAGATACCATCCTTGCATGTGATTTTACATCCCCTTCTCCCTCTTTTCCCTTCTCCCTCTTCATTACTACAAAATCTAAAGTAGGTCTTGAACCCTACTGACCTGCTGTTCTTTATACTGTGATTCTACTGACAAGGGACACCTTCTCCAGTGGTTTTTCCTTTTTGTCACCCAACATTTTAATAGTTTGTGGAATAAAGCCATGGTAAATGGAGATACGGGCTCAGTGGGTTTGGCATTGTGTTTTGGAAACCAAGATGTGCCAACTAATTAAGGTCGTATTGTATTCTGCATGAATTGTTGTATTTGTGCTGTGGGGGTGTAAGGAATAGAGCTGTAAGTTATTACAAATTGCTTATCTAAGAATACAAGGTATTTTGCCATAGGGCTGCATGTCAGCTGCTAAATGCCAGGTGAACGGTATTGTAGATGGAGAGGATTTGGGGCCATGAACCAAGATCTGGAATCTCATAAACTTTGGTAGTGTTTGAATCCAGTTCCAAATTTTGCAGTATGGAAGTGTTTTTCACGCCAGCCTTTACAGTAGAAGTACTTTACACTCTGTTGTTTGGAATTTGCATAACTTGTTCTAGAATTACTGCACACCATTCTTTTTAACCCCTAGAACCACAGATACTAGAAAAAGAATCACCTGTATAAGCATGTTCCTCTTTATAGTGGGACTTTTTGATGAATTCTGTTAGTTTAGCCAGTTCCGTTTTCAATATCTCAGAGCAAAAGAACTTCTTGATTCCC